GTACAGACCGCGAGAACAGGCCTGATCAGACCTAAGAGGGTACTAGTGCGTGCGAGACCACAGAAGTCAGAAAACAAAGTCCAAATAATTACCAGAAGAAAATGTAGGCTTCTTCTGAATCCAAAGACACATCAAATTTTCTATTCCACATAAGAAATACTGATTTTACGTTTCTTCATGACCTTAAAGGACACACTGAGCAAGGAAAGTTTATGTGGCTCATGAAGAACAATGTTTGATGGAAAGACGCCCAAAACAAAGGGAGAGAGTGGACGGACAGAGAGGGAAGGGCACTCTTCTAGTCTTCAGTACACAGGGATGGCCCCCTGAAGGAAGAGCAAGAAATTGAGTAAGTTGGAAAATATTTCTAACTTTATCTGTATTTTTCCTTAAGCCAACATTTGAAAATTAGCATAGGTTTCATACAATTAAAAATCACACAGATTTTAATTCTAAGTAGTCACCATTACAAACGCTGTGACACTGGGTTACAGAGGAATAATATAATGGCTTCAAACCTTAACTTAGATGCAACTTTTCCAACAATGAATCTATTCCTATTGTGATCTTATTTAACAGAAAGCCTACCAGCTGATGGTTGCAGAACTTGACTATGTATTCAGTCTTAATAAGTTGTACAAGCTACAATGTGTTATCTATACTTCTTTTTTACAACAATAAAAACAAAGACTACCAGAAACTGCTTCTTTATTCTCTCATAAAGCACACATATTTACTCAAGCTTTAAACCACCTTTTCCTTGCCCATTTCTCATAAACGATATTTTTATTTCAGTTTGTTTAACAACAATGCCCAGGTGGTTTCCCAGTAAGCCATTTAAAAAAAAAATTCCACAGTGCTGAATTATAAGAAATCAGTTAACATATCTAAGACTTGTAGGTTTACAATCCACTTTATTGTTTTTTAAAAAACCAGACAGATTTCAACACATAATTATTTATAGATGAAATAGAACATTTAGAAAAACCCAAATTGACTAGTATCAAAATATATAACACTAAAATATACTTACTTATAAAAACATATTGCCTTTACCATGTGAAAATCTGGTATTCAGTTCTCTAGATTTTTTTATCAGAGCTTTTTTCTGAGCTTCATCAAACCGATTAACCTTGAGATCCTTATCACGGTCAAATGGTATTCTTTCTTGGGGCTTATTTTTATCTTCAGCAGCCTTATTCTTTAATTTTTTATGATGTATGTCCATAAGAGATTCTGATCTTTTGGAGTCCTGGGAAGGCAAGATAACAGAAATAAAAATCTTAGTTTGTACAAATTATAGACAGAATATGGAACCAAAACAAAATAATTAGGTAGTAACAGTGAACACTGGAGTCCAAGTGTGGTGCTGTAGGATAAGCACTGACTGGAATGCAAGGTCAATTTGAACTACAGGGCTGGCGGTTCAAACTCACCAGTTGACCCTGGAAACCATGTACAGGGTTACTATGAGTCAGAACAGACTCAACAACCCTTAACAACAACAGTGAACATTAAGGAGGGCCTGGCGTGGCACTGTGGGTTAATACGCGGGACTGCAAGGTCGGTTTGAACCTCAAGGATGGCAGTTCAAGCTCACCAGCTGCTCCTTGGAAACCCTATACAGGGTTACTATGAGTCCTATGACTCGATGGCACATAACAACAATTTATAACCCCAATAGGTTTTCCTAAATCCAAGAAATCCAGCATCTGTGAAGAAAATATATATCAGAGACAAATTTAATTTGTCCTTTAATGAAGATGTCTACCAAAAATATGCTACATAATAACAAAAAGTATGACAGAGAGGAACCAAATTTTTAAATAGCTGTAACACAGAGCATCCCGTGATGTGTCAAAATCAATTCATGAACCGAGAACACGGTTGTGAAAGAAGAGCAAGGACACCCTCACTTGGGAGCCTGCCCGGAGCTTCCTGGGTGCGTGGGTCCTTGAAGGCTGACCGGAACCTTTAACAAGTAGATGGGAGGAGAAGGGTACTCGTAGACTGAGGCAAAACAGGGCAAAACACAGAAATAAGGGCACAGAAGTGGCCATAGCCAAGGTCCGGGCAGAGTTTGTTGGCATGTATATGCTGCTAAATTTCTGTTCTTCCAGTTTTCTTTCTTTTCCTCTTACCTCCTTCCTTTTTTTTTTTCTTCTGAGGTGGGGTAAGTGTCCACATGTTCAGATATATGCAGTTGGATGAGGCGTGAGCAAAGGTAATGAGTTTAATGAGTTAGGGATTCCAGAAGAATTTTCAGTATCGATTAAAGTAAAAGACAGACTGACACTGCATGGAAGAAGCTTTGAGGGGGTTGGAGGAGTTGATATTTGTAGTACAGACCAGTAGTCTTCAAAAGTTTTGAATTTTTAAAATTTTCATTTGTACAGGGCTTTTTAGTCATAGGGGAACACTTAGGCAGGTTTACATAGGCAAAATGGGACAGAAATTAATAGTGATGTTGCTTAATCTTGGAACAATGGGGCTGTGACACAGGAATTGAGGCATAGTCTGAATGGGTAAAAGAGGGGAAATAATGTTAGGATGCTTGACTGTCTTATAAATGCTGGTTTCCCTTGCCTACTATTATAAAATAGACACTTGAGTGGGAGAGAAAGGACTATCAGGAAGCATGATTACAGAACGCTTGTAAGTCTGCCTTCAGCCTATAACTGATTGGAATACCTGAAAGGGGTTCTAGATCTTGCACAGTGAAATAGGCCTCTTGCAAACCCTTTGCAGAGTATAGGACCTTAGGTGGAATCCCGAGCCCCATCCAGAACCTTCTGAGTGGGACATTCCCACTTAAAAGGACATGCAGACCAGCTTGGAGTAGCTAGAGGAACAGAAGATACTTCTTGAGAGAAAGACCAGCAGGAAAAATCCAAAACAAAAACGGCAGTCTGATTGGCTACTGTAAAAACAAGCAAGTTGCTTACTGGGTAGCCATCAAGGCCAGTAATCACATCCCTTCAGGACAAACCCCCCTCCAAGACAGAAACTCAAAGGAAACACATGAGCAGGCATGTAATATGCTTGCTGGCAACAACACTGGTCTACTGGTAAGTGGAAGACGGGGAAAGGCAGCAATGAAGAAATATCAACCATGTTCCAAAGACACCTGTTGACCTTGAGATGAGAGAGAGAAAAGGGAGGGCTGGTTGGTCTGAAGTGTGGTGAGACCTGGGGACTGCTAAACCCATGGACAAGAATCTAGCCACAGAGGGCTAGAGCTGAGAGTGAAGTGTCCAGCTGATATGAAGTGAAGGGAGGTGCACAAGAACATCCAAACTTGTAGATAGTACCCTTTTGTTCTAGCTTCAATTGCTTGATGATCAGAACTCAAAGAGAGGAAGATAAAGAAATCTGATAAAGGAAACAAGTGTAAATTGCTACATTTTGATGAGCTAATGATAAAGCCCATTGCTTCATTATGCAGGGTTGATAGGGATGGGCAGCTTAAACACTGATAACCTAAAAAGGTGGGCTATAAAGGCACAAAGTGGCTGGCTTACAAGTTTTCAAGAAGGAATTTAGTTTCAGAATGCAGAGGAAGGTAGAATCCCTACTGAATAGCTTTCATCTTGTCTAGGTGGGTCTGGTGAAAGGAGATGGGGATAAGATTCTTATGATTCAATAGTGAGTCATTGTTATCATGACTAACTGCGATGGTCACAACTCTAAAGGTAGAAGTTTCCTAACATAAAGGGGGAAGTAGTTAATCTTACATTCCAGGAACAGAGGACCCTAGGACCATTAAGGGAGAAAAGCATGAGCAGAATGTGGGACTCTATCCAGAGAAGCAGCGATACCAGAGATGAAGAGATGAGGACATGGAGTAGTTGAGGACTCTAGACTCATGGAAAGAAAAAGGCTGTGTGCTAGAAGCCAGGAGGCAGGCTTAAAGAATGTGTCCTTTGGTTGTGTACATCAAAACAAAACAAAAACAAAACCAGAAAAACAGGGAATAGAAGCAAAAAAAAAAAGTATTGGTCCAGGATATCCAGACATCTATTAAGGCACCAAAATTTATAGTGTATATATGTATATATATATGTATATATATATGTATATATATATGTATCTGGTAGTGTAGTGGTTATGAATCGGGCTGCGAACTGCAAGGTCAGCAGTTCGAAACTACCAGCTGTTCTGTGATGGGAGAAAGATGAGGCTTTCTGCTGCCGTAAAGATTTACAGCCTTGGAAACCCTGTACAGGGTCGCTATGAGTCGGAACTGACTCCACGGCACATAACAACAACAACAATATATATATATACACACACACCTTTGACAGGAAAAAGTCACGTGAATCTAGTGTTCTGAGACAAGATTTTAAGATATTATCTATTTATATCCCAAAATGTCCAATTGAGTTTGAAATTCATAAAACCAAGTTTCAGTAGTAAAAAAATAATAATAATAATAATGAAAATCCTTTACAACTGGGAGGGAGCATATATGTGACTGGGGTGAGGGTCATATTTTGCTTCTTGATCTGGTTGTGTTATTACAGGTGTGCTCACTTAGTGAAAATCATGTAGCTGGACACTTCTAATCTGTGTACTTTTCTGTATATAATTAATTGTTACAATTCAAAAATGAGTTCAAAAAATAAAAACAGGTGAAGAAAAAACAAACTCCACTTCCTTGTTCTCAGAGAACATGTCCTGAATATCAGTGATTTTTTTGAATATTGTTGAGAAATGACTTTTGAGCTGGTTCATTTACATGAATGTCCCTGTTTCATGTGGGTCTAGTTTTCAGTCAGTGTCCAAAAGTGTTCATGTGTGCCTCACTGTTCCTGATGTTCCTATGCCCATGAAATCAAGCTTACTGTCTCCTTGATGTTCACGGAGAGTCTCATTACCTGGTAACACTATGAACGTCTTGAACCCAACAATACTTCTCAGGAACCAGTGGGTTCAGGGATTTACATTTACTCTGTGAGTGGCAACAATCTTGAGTTTTTCTAAAACAGAAGACACTATAACAGAATAGTAATATGCCAAGTGAATGTTGACCTGCTTAGTTTATGAAATGAGATTGAACCGTATTTTTAAACCAAATTTATTTCTCCTGTATTTAAATCTTATATTTCTTCCCTATGTAAATCTTTATAGTAATCATTCCACACCTGTTTGTAATTTAAAAACTCTCATGAGTGGAGGATTTCTGTGAGTTGTCAGGGCTCTGGCTTTCTGATCAAATACTATCTATATCTAGTGATTTAACTTCTGGTAAATGATTTAAAGTAAAAATTGAAAACATTAAATGAAGTGCATTTCTAAAGTACTACACAACACAGTCAAATATTTTTCAGGACAGACTTTTTTTTTTTTTTTTACACATATTCAAAAAGTACTGACAATTTATTCACAAGAAAGCGACCACACCGGACATTCTAAGAATTTAAAAATAAACCCACAATCACATATTAAAAGAACCCTCGTTTCAAAGATTATACAATCGAGCAAAAGAGTAACATGATATGCAAAGGGTACTCTCTGAATCTGTCAAGTGATAATAATTATGTCAGCATTCAAACTAATTCTGGAAGAAAAACTTAGTTGCCTCCTTACTCAAAAATATTCAAAATTCTAAATTTAACAAAGTCCTGTATTTTAACTCCCTAAAGAGAGACATTCATTTAAATATAAAGAGCTAAATATAGCCCTTCCTTAAGAGTCCCAGTGTGGTGCTGTAGGATAAACACTGGACTGCTAACTGCAAGGTACCTAAAAGTGATACTGGTCACCTAATTGTTGTTAAGTGTCATTGAGTTGGTTCCAACTCACGGCGACCCTGCATAGGGTTTTCAAAGATCAGCTGGTGATCTTGAACTGCTGACCTTGAAATCCAGTGCATTAACCCACAGCACCATACATTAGGCTAACTCTAAATCTTCAGAGATTTAATCCAAAACATGAAGACCAACCAGCAACAGTAACTGAAGCTAAGTGTTTATTAAAGTTTAGCAGTCACCCATGAAACATGAAGGACAGACATATGTAAAGGACCAATGCATAGGTGAAGATATAAAGGAGAGAAATGAGAAAATTTTAGAGACAAAAATGAAAAGGTTATGCATTCGATTTTTTTACTTACATTGTATGAGGATACCTGCTCAGCCAACCTCTTATCCCTTCCTGACAACACATGGTCTTCATCCTTCTGACTCAGTGACTTCCTTGCTGCTTGTGTTTCCTGAGGAATGAACACAGAACACATGTACTTACTGAACCGTGTAATTATGAGTTAATAAAAAGAAATACACATTATTTTTATTTAGATAGAGTAACTAGAGACTTACCTAAGGAACTGGTGAGGTGCTGCAGCATAAGCACTAGACTGCTAACTTCAAGGTTAGCAGTACAAACCAACCAGCCATTCTTGGAAATCCTACATAGGATTGCTATGAGTCTGAACTGACTCACAGACATACACAACAATCACCACCTAAGGCAAGCTGCTTGTATCCTTTCCCATTGTTGTGAAGTGTTGTTGAGTCAATTCCGACCCATAGCGACCCTGTATAGGGTTTCTGAGGAGCAACTGGTGAGCTTGAACCGCCGGCCTTGCGATTCAAACAGCTTTGCAGTCTGGCGCATTAACCCACAGCGCCACGCCAGGACTCCCCTTTCCCATTAGAAGTATCAATATTCTAGAAGAGGGATTGTTTAGGGTTCTGCAGTATGATCTGCATGAAGACAAATGAACTCTAACCAACAAACTGAAAAGACATTCCCATTTATAGAATCCAGAGATGTCTGACAGACATTAAAAATATGTACAAGACAAAATGAGGCTTAAAAAAAATTCCTGTATTATACCCCAAATCCTTTGCCATGTCAGTTCTGTCTCACAGAGACCCTATAAAACACGGTAGAATTGCTCCATAAGGAATCCAAGGCTGCAAATTTTTAAGGAGGCAGACACCCTCGTCTTTCTCCCATGGAGCAGATAGTGGGTTTGGTTTGCAGCCCAATGCTTAACCCACTGTGACACCAGGACACCTAAAATTCATTTCACAGTGAAATCACTTCTGAGGGGAAAATTTTTTTTAACAGAGGTAGAAAAAGAAATACAAGGTATATGGGTTGGAAAATAAAACAATACTTGTCTTTTAAACAGGATAAAAGCCTCCAAAAGTCTACAAAATGATTCTTGGAACTAGCGAGTACAGCAATGTTGTAGGATACATGGTGAATGTACAAAACTGCTTTCTTATATACAGACCACGAACATCTGAACGTGAAACTTAAAACAATAGTATCAACAACACATGTAAGAAAATACAGCACATGTATGAAAACGAAGTACTTACATAAAAATCCAAAAAAAAATCTTAATTATAAACACTGTAGCAATATTCTAGAGAATTGGGATCCAATTAATGGTGGGGTTGGACCACATAAAAATGGCTGAAAATAAATGTTTTGAAAGCATATTTTTATACTATTATTATTTGATTAAGAAAACCAAGGAGGCCCTCATACAATTTTCATCTTAATACCAAACTAAACTAGCACTGTATCTAATCAAGCACGTTAATAATATAGAACTATATCATTACAGCATGACTTACAATAGGCAAAAGCCAGAAATCACCCAATGTTCATCAGGAGATGTATGGATAAAGAGAATGTGTGACATACTCATGTATACAATGACACAGTACTCAGTCTCATAGAGAAACGAAGTGCTGATGCACACTATGACACGGCTCAACCTTGAAAACATAAGGTAAGTGAACAAACGCAGATACGAATGATTCCACTTCATGAAGTTACCTGCAATGCACGGAGGGAGAAAGTTGTGAATAGGGACTGGGACAGGGGAGTGGGGAATTAGGGTTCATATGGTACAGAGTTTCTAATGGAAATGATGAAAACAAATTTCAAAATAGTGATAACGATAGGAAAACAACAACAACAACAACTAGGGACAGCTAATTTCTTATTTTTCCATAAAAATTTCCCAGAAAACAAATGCTTTTATTTGTAAGTATAAGAGAAAAATGATGTTATGGCAAAATGGAGATTACAAACCAGAACATTTAATGCTAAGACGTGGCAGACTAAACGAAGGCTGGGAGGTGCAGATCCTGAATTGTATATTACACCTCCTTTTCTTCCTAAAGAGCAACCATACTTCTTTTAGGTCAGGGGTGGGGAATGTCCAGCCTACGGGCCGTATAAGGCCCACACAATCATTTTGTCTGGCCCTGCCAAGGCAACCGCAGTTTCAACAGCCACACTGTGGTTGTAAGTGCCATCGAGTTGGTTCCGACCTATAGTGACCCAGTATAGGGTTTCTGAGGCGCAGCTGGTGACTTTGAACTGCTGACCTTATGGTTCAAACCAACCTTGCAGTGTAGCGCATTAACCCACAGTGTCACACCTTAACCAAATATAGCAGAAAAAAGGTTCCCAACCCCTGTTTTGGAGTCGTAGTGTGCCACTGTGGTTAAAGTGCTGGACTGCAACGTCAGTGTGAACTGCAAGGTCTGTGGTTCAAGCTCACCAGCCGCCCCGTGGAAACTCTACACAGGGTTGCTATAAGCCAGAACCGACTCCACGGCACTGAACATCAGCTACCACCACCTGTTTTAGGCCACGAGCCACGGGAGATGTATGCTGGGCGATCAAACATAACAAAGTAAGAAATGAGAATAGAAAACCTAGCAATCTAGCAATAAGGAAATCTGGCTAAGAGCTTTGACAAACATTAGTTATTAACATTAGGCTGGGTCAAAACTCAAAGACAGGTACAAATCTCTGTGATACTATACAGTTTGTGACATAAATCTATTTCTGTGGTACTATTTGGTGGGGCGCTGTGTGTTAGTTAATGCACTGGACTGCAAAGTTGGTTTAGGCTGCAAGGTCGGCGGTTCAAGCTTGCCAGATTTCCCTCGGAAACCCTTTACAGGGTCGCTGTGGGTTGGACCTGACTCGATGGCACTTAACAACAACAATAACAATATGCTAGAATATCATATACACTTTAAGGGCTATTAAGAATTCATTTTGAGTCCACTGTCAATACTAAACAAAACATTCTCAGTATTGGTAGGAAAAGTGATCAAATCTAAAAAAACTCAGTTATGGGGCTTAAAAATCCCTTAAGTTCCAATTGTACTACCTAGCTGATTTGTTCCATTTTTCTGTTTTCCTCTGAATAAGACACCCTGCATATATGGCTGTAGGCTACGCATTTATTCACATACAGGAAAAAGGCACAGACTTTCCTATCTGTAAGCACAGATTAAAAAAAGTCTACCTAGTGAGATCACCTTAAGGTTGTCCTAAAGACTGCAGTATGTTTGTTATCTCTATAAAACACAAGCCTTTCAAGGTGTGGGGCTCATTCCACACTGTGACTTTTTGGCCTCTTCTGCCCTGTGTGTGTTGACTCATCTCACCTTTTTACTACTGCTCTCAGACTTCCTCCTTTAATCTTCAGATCAAAAGAGAACTTAAGATGCTGCCATGTGCTCAGGGGACGGTGCTACAATATGGACACTTAAACATACCATCCACATTTTAAGAGTAACAGTCTACTTCACAGTCAGTTTTCCACTAGAATGAAAACTACTTATGGAGTGCTTTCATGATTCTATAATCTGTAACCAAGTCCATTGTCTGACTGAGTAGGATTCAACTCATGGTTACAGAATCAAAACAGAAGTCCTGAGACTTGTAGGTACTGACGAACAGGATCACAGAGCGAGGCTGATGAACTAAAGATGCTTAGGTAAGGAATGATGGAGCCATAAGAATAAGCTGACCATGAGTCAAGCTTGAAGACTTGAATGGGACAGCTTACAAAAAATAAGCAGCCCTGGTTGGTGCTGAGGGTTAAGTATTGGGCTGCTGACTACAAGGTTGGAAGTTCAAGCCCAAGGGTTGCTCCATAGGATGAAGGTGAGGCTGTCTGCTCCCATCAAGATTTACAGCTCTCAGAAACACTAGATAAGGTTGCACTGAGGAATTACAATTTTTTTACTAAACTTAAGAAGGAGTAGTGCAGGGGCATGGTTCAACTCCTAAATACAATAAACACAATGAATTGCTTTAGAATGAACAGAAAAATTCCAAAGGATAAAATCTAAAACAGTGTGAGGATCTCCCTTTCTTGCCTACTGACGTCTGGTAGATTTGCAGACTCCCAAGCTTCATGTAGGTTAATGCGCCAGACTGCAAATCCGTTTGAACTGCATGGTCAGTGGTTCAAGCTCACCAGCTGCTCCTCGGAAACCCTATACAGGGTCGCTATGGGTAGGAATCGACTTGACGGTACTTAACAACAACAACAGCAACAAATTTCATGTACTCATGAAGGCACCTCTTACCTCTCGTGGCTGTAACGTGCAGCCGTGTGCACTGGGAAGCAGTCATTTATACAGTGTTGATGTCTCCCTACACTTGCTAGATGAGTCTGCAGCTTTAATTCTTCCCCAAAAGAAATCTTGTGATTTACAAATATTCTAAGATACTTTTAAAGGTAATTTCATGGAGACACTATAAAACTGTATAAAGACCACAGAATTTGGATTGGAGTTACAAAGATCTAGAATTAAATTTTTATTCATCCCTAACCAGCTCTGTGAACTTTGAAAAGGTGACTTCAAAGAAATTAGATTCTTCATCTACAAAATGGAATCAATAAACCAGGGAAAAATCTGCATTTTCCCTTTCAGAATCATAAAGTTAAAAAAAAAAAATCCATTGTCATCAAGTGGATAGTAATTCATAGTGACCCTATGTTGCTGTTGTTAAGTGCCGTCGAGTCAATCCCGACTCATAGAGACTCAGTATAGGGTTTCCGAGGTGCACCTGGTGAGCTTGAACTGCCAACCTTGTAGTTCAAACAGCTTTGCAGTATGGTGCATTAACCCACAGTACCATACCAGGAATAAATCCTGCCCTATTGGGTTTCCAAGGTTGTAAATCTTTATAGAAGCAGACTGCTACATCTTTCTCCCATGGAGTGGTTGGTGGGTTTGAACTGCTGATCCCCTAGTAAGTAACTGAGTTCTTAATCACTGTACCACCAGAGCCCCTATTTAAAAAAAATACACTACCCCTAAATAATTTCCTCTTACAGTTTTTCAAAATAAAGCCAACATAAACAGAAATAAATGAACAAACAAAACCTCTCACTCACTTTAGCTTTCCTTTCTCTGTCTGCTGGGGTATCTGTCCAAATTGATCGATCTCCGGATTTGTCATCAGCTCGTCTCTTGAAAGTCCTTGGCCCAAGACCAAATTCTTTCATTTCTGGAGGAAGCTCAGTCATCCATGACTCCCTTGTAATTGCTTTAGGTGAATCCTTTAAGAAAGAAAAAAACACAGTAGCATGGAAAGCACAGATAGCTGTAACAATGCACAAGGGCTATGCTTCTGAGTCAGGTTTAAAAGTTGACAATTATAGAAAGACCTAGTAGTGTTCTTACATCCTTGGCAACAATGAATATTATCTTTTTAATGGTTTGCTAATCTGATGAACAAAGGAGCTCTGGTAGCATAGTGGTTATGAATTGGGCTGCGAACTGTAAAGTCAGCAGTTCGAAACTACTAGCTGCTCTGTGGGAGAAAGATGAGGCTTTCTGCTCCCGTAAAGATTTACAGACTCGGAAACGCTGTTCAGGGTCGCTGTGGGTCGGAACTGACTTGACAGCACTTAACAATAACAACAATTTGATGAACAAGTCTTCCCATTTTTGTTTTCAGTGGAATTTTCCATTCTTTTCAAATGCTTTATTAGCTGTTTGCACTTCCTCCTCTGTATAGCATGTACCTTGTGCATTTTTCTACTGGATTGATGTTTTTTTACCAATCTGCAGGGGCTCTCTGCTTTGGTGGCTGCCAGTCCTTTTTCATATATGTTGCAAATATTTCCACCCAATCTATAGTTCTTTTGACGTCATTCAATTTTTTTGCCATACCGATCTTTTTAATTAACAAATTTGCCAATGTTTTTTGTTACAGCTTTGGAGTTATCATTTTTTTTTTCTACTTTTGAAAAACATTGTTTTACTGCATTTAAGGGGAAAGTCTGCACAGCAAATTAAGTTCTCATTTAACAACTTCTACTTACAGTACGCAGTGATACTGGTTACATGTTTCATAATATGTCATCATTTCCATTCATTCTCTTCTAGTACCATGTCTAGTACTCTAGTCTCCCTGCCTCCCTTAGTGTCTCATCTCTGCTTGATAGGAATTTGCTTTAGAGTAAATCTGGGCTCATGTAGATTCATTTTCAGAGGAGCTCATTACTCACTGGTGATATTTTTCACTTTACAAGCCAAACTGCTATTTAGCTAAAAGGTTACCTACTTCTCAAGGGATAATTTTGATTCACCACACACCGACTTTTTTTTTTTTTTTTTAGTTGTTTTAAAAAATTCTGAAATTTGTTGTTGGTGAGAATATACACGAATTCAACAGCTTCTACATGTACAATTTGGTGACACTGATTACATTCTTCGAGTTGTTCCTCCTCACTGCCCCTAAGGTTCCTACCTTTGAGTTGCTGTTGTCAGTTAACTAGTAGAGAAGGTTCCATAAAGAGCAGCCTGCTCAAGGCAGACATTTTTTATTAGTTAAGCCAAGCTACTGTTTGGTTTTATAAAGACTTCTGGGAACATTTTTCGTTTAAGGTTTAAAGATGATCTCAGGGCAATAGTTTGGGGTAATTGTCATTGACTATATGGTGGTGGTTATGTGCCGTGGAATCAGAACCGACTTACAGCAACCCTCTACAGGGTTTCCGAGGCTGTAAATCTTTATGGGAACAGAATGCCTCATCCTTCTCCGGCGGAAGAGCTGGTAGTTTCAAACTGCTGACTGCAATTGCGGTTCGCAGCCCGATTCGTAATCACTACGCTACCAGAGCTCCTTCTTTGACTATATACACATATTTAAATTTGTTTTTTAATATTTAGATTTTCAAATCTATTTAGTTTGTCTCATTGAGTAAGAATATTTAAAACTTACGTCGTCTCCTTTAGTTAGTTTTTCTTTCATTCTCTGGGCCCTTTTTTCAAATTCTTCTGTTATGCTCGAGTTAACTGGTCCTTTTGCAGGCATTGGTCCAATAATGTCCTCGTCATCTTCACTACTACCTGTTTCCTTTTAAAACAAGATATTACCTTTGAATTAGAGCTACAAGTTATAGACTATGATCCTAAATTACTTAAAATTGAGCTTAAATTGCTACTGATAGACAATAAAACAAAGCAGCAAACAATGTGCTGCTGGTTAGTCACTGAATGAGAATCTTTGTCGCCTTCAAGTAAGCCAATAAAGGCCAAACCCAGTAACTCACGTGCCCACATAATACAGAAATGACAACTAATTGTCACATTTCTTCTGGGTCCACAGTGGTTGCTGCTGCAGAGCCGGTCCCTGTCTCCTGGCAAGCCCAGTTGTAGCTGTGGAGTTGGTTCCAACTCATAGTGACCCTGTATAGGGTTTTGAGGCTGTAAATTCTTTGAGGGAGCAGAAAGCCTCATCGTTCTTCCTTCTAACAGCTAATGGACTCGAACTATGGACCACGTGGTTTGCAGTCCAGTGCTTATTGTGCGAAGCCACTACACCCCCAGCAAGTCCAGTAAATCTCATCAGATTATTTCTGTGTTTTCTTAGTGAACACATGGTGGCTTCAGAATTCCTCTCACCATAGTATTCTGAGTGGTGGTGGTGGTCGGGAAGTGCCGCTGAGTCGGTTCCGACTCATAGCAATGCTGTATAAGGTTTCCAAGGAGCAGCTGGTAGATTCAAACTGCTGACCTGGTGGTTTGCAGTCCAGTGCTGACCTACAGCGCCACACGAGAAATCCAGGTAGCTACTATCAATTTGTCAGTTAACATAAGTTGAAAACTATTTATTTCTGGCACATACTAAGCTCCTGGAAGCTGTTACCAGCATTCATGAGTCAATATCATCCACGGAAACAGAAATGTACAAGAACTCATGAAGCCCTGACCAAAATGAGTCCTCCCTCACCACCTCAAGATACAATAGTCTTATAGTAAGTGAATTCAACTTTTTCCTATTAAACATTTTGATAAACGGTTTATATATATGAAGGGGCTTCAAAAAGTCTGTGGAAAAATTCCATGATCTTGTAATTTCATTTTTCCGTGAGGTTTCTTTAAGCATCCTTGTAATCTATATACATGGTACTATGTACACTAATTTTAAAGGCAGTTGTTATCCTCCAGGAAAAAATACATTAATAACGACATATTTATCTTCCAACTCTAACAGGCAGCTTTCTCCTATGTTTTCAAACTAGCAGATGAGTTTACTTTGTATTGTTTTCATTTTCCCTCCACTGTGTAATGTATAAGCTCCTCTCCGACTACTTACAGCAATCGCTGTATGTAAAAATAATTTGATAATTTTACGCTGTCTTTTATGGAGTCCTGGTAGGGCGTTGTTTAAACCTCCGGGTCGGTTTGAACCACAAAGTCGGTGGTTCAAACTCACAGTTGCTCCTTGGAAATCCTGCAGTGGGGTCCTTATGAGTCGAAATCAACTTGCCAACATTTAACAACAAAGTTGTCTTTGGGCTTATTGTAAACATGTGGAGGCTTCAAGAAGTTCATAGAATAATGGCATTAAAAGATAAGGGAATCTTCCCACAAAATTTTTTTGAAGGATCCTTGCATAAACACTTAATAATCAGTATATAATGCCTTATTTAATTCAGATAGCAAAATCATAAATTTGGCATTATTTTTCCTGTTTTCCTTTTGAGGAAACATAGGCTTAGATAGGACTCCTAGTTTGACGTTACAGGATCAGCACTGGACTGTGAATCACAAGGTTGGTGGTTCAAACCTATGAGCTGCTCCTTGAAAACATATATATGGTAACTATGAGTTGGAACTGACTTGACGGCACTTAACAGGCTTAGGAAAGTACATAGGAAGACTGAAAAACTAGCTGAAAGGCTAGTAGTTCGAACCCACCCAGATATGCCACGGAAAGAAAGGGGTCCTTTCTAAGGCCTTTCAATCTGGTTTCAAAAGGTCATAGCCTTGAAAATTCTATGGAGCAATTCTACTCAGCACACATGGGGAGTCCTGGTGTGGCGCCGTAGGCTAATGCATCAGATTGCAAAGTCATTTCAATTGCAAGGTCGGTGGTTTTAGCTTACCAGGTGTTCCTTGGAAACCTTATACAGGGTTGCTATGGGTTGGAATCGACTCGACAGCACTTAACAACAACAACAAATAGAAAGACTTGGTGAAAGAAATTGATCAGATATAAAAGATATGGTGTTGTTAAGTGCCGTCAATTTGGTTCCAACTCATAGTGACCCTGTATAGGGTTTCCAAGGAGTGGCTGGGATGTTTGAACCGCCAACCTTTAGGTTAGCCGTCCAGTAATTACCCTACAGCACCACACTATGATTCCTATAAAAGATACAGTGAACTTTTAAAACTAATAATCAGGTTTTAAGATGATGAAATATGTAAAAGGCATTTTTAGTTTCTTCTAAATACCAAATGATTTCGTGAAAGTAGAACTTCAGCACACCTTGACAGGATGACATGACATTTTTATAAAGATCAATGAGGATATTGGAAGACAATACACTAAACAGGAGGCTGGAGCGGTAAGCAGAAAACTATGGCCAACACACTACTAAACTGAACATCAGCTGTCAGAATATAGGTATTAACCTCTAGGTATCAAATCATTTTAGTGTCCTGGACAAGGTATGTCTTCATTTTCCTTACACATGAACTATTTTTCTCAAAATGCAAAGGAAATGATGTACCCTGCTAGTTTCTAGTTTGGGCTGTGAAGTTAGAATGAGTTTCAAGCCTTCAATTTACCACTGTATTGCCCCTCTGCCCACAGGCATGGTTCTAAGTCTTACTTACCCTTGTCCCCGAAATAGGGGTTATAAAAGCCCCAACCAATATTTCCTGCTTTGCTAGGAGAACCCTGCATTTGCTCATCCTCTTTGAAGCCATACCCCTCTCACGACACTGGGACCTTCTCTAACCCCTGGGAAAAGAAATTAGTAATTCAAATCCAATCTCTCTGGTCTCTTGCCTTGGTGGAGATGTGGCCTACATAAGACCATTTTGTTCAAAGAGATATGGGGAACATTTGGAAAAGGTTTTCTTGCTCTAAAAAAGGAGCACAGGCTAGGGATCATTCGCCTTCCTGTATCTGGACACTGGCCATTTGTGTGTGTATTTTAGAACTGTGGCAGCCTGCTGGGGATAATGAAGGAAGCCAGGCTAAGAGGACAAATAAACATGCAATAGGTGATGGAACAGATAGGTGAAAAATACCTGAACCTTTGGTGATGTTCATCAGGCTGCTGAATTAACCAACACTGGAGAGAGCATACCTCTAAACCTCATATTATGTTTTAAAAATATTTTCCTTACTTGAGAATAAAGAATGTATACCACCGAAGGCATCAATAAACAACCCAGTTGCTAACTGTTGTTGGTGTTGTTAGGTGCCACTGAGTTGGTACCGACTCATCGCAACTGTACGCACAACAGAACGAAACACTACCTGATCCTGGGACCAGCCTCACAATCATTGCTACGCTTGAGTCCACTGCTGCTGCTACTATACCAATCCATCTTGCTGGGGGGCTTTCTCTTTTGCTTCGGCCCTCCACTTTACCAAACATGGTATCTTTCTCTAGTGACTGGTCCCTCCTGACAATATGTCTAAAGTATTACAGATAAAGTCTAGCCATCTGGCTTCCAAGGCGCACTCTGGCTGTACTTCTTCCAACACAGATCTATTGGTTCTTTTGGCAGTTCATGGCACTTTCAACATTCTCCTCCATCACCATAACTCAAAAGCATTAATTCTTCCATGATCCTCCTTATTTACAATCCAACTTTCGCATGCATATGAGCTTACTGACAAGACTATGGCTAACCAGGTAGGTTAAAACGAAATTCCATTTTGGGTTGCAACTTAAGTTATTTGCAGCTGAATGCATCCTAACTGGTAAACCACTGCTGAACTGTTTGGATTAGTTTACTAGGTAATATGATTCCTAGTGTTTAGTTTGTGGTAAGTGCTCAACAATGTCACCCATAAGAATTATTGTCTGTATCTTAATTTGTAGGTATATGTTGAGAATGAGACTGGGAAAAGCCCCTCTTTGAGAAAGAAAAATAAATATAGAAAACCAAATATATGTGAGGGCTTCAAAAAGTTCATGGAAAAATGGATCTGAAAGACAAAGGAATTTTTCAAACTGTTTGAAGCCCCCTTGTAGTACTGCATTTTGAAAAAGAGTTTATTATGAAGCAAAAAATTCTGAACCAACAGTACCTTAAAATGACATACTTTGGTATAACCATTATCCTACCTTCTCCCCCAGTCTTTAGCTACGATGAAGCCAGAGTATATAGAAAATGTACCACCCAGAGAATGATAAACACCTGTTTGCTAACTAAATAGACTTAGACAATGTTCTAAGTATGAATAAAGTTGAATTAAAAATTTGTTTCTCAACTTTTAACTTTGAAAAACAAAAAACCTCTAGAAAAGTGATAAGACAGCGTACAATGACTACCCCCAGACCTTTACTGAAAAACACTTTACACTTTTCTATTTCTTCTGTGACCACCCTCTGCCATTTGAAAGGAGATTGTATCTAGCATGACAAGGTCCTGGACTGAATGAAGCAAACTTCCTTATCCTTTTTTCAGGACGGTGGACTGAATTTTTCCACTAGTCTTTTTGCAGACCAAGTATGATGACCCATCAAACAAGTGAAATATGACCAGAGCAATAACAGAAGTAGATGGATTCTGGATGTCTTTTGAAAACAGAATTTGCTCACACATTCATTTCTGGGACTATGTATCTGACACACAATAGTTCCTCTATAAAATCCTGCTGAAGAATGAATAAGTAACAGCGAAGTGCACCATCTTAACCACACATGATGTTTCCTTTCAAAACCAGCCGCAGTGTAAGTGTTGAATTCTCACTGGAGAATTCAGGAGTGATATAAAACCTTATACGGAAAGGTCTTGAAGTACAAGAGAATGAACAGGTGGTTGAAAGTCACAACTGGATCTACTCCTTGGCTTTGTTAAGTACAAGTTTTGTGATCTTGGGGAGATTAACATCTGTAAGATGCAGATAACATCGATTTCATGATGCTGTGGACAAGATAAAAACAAATTCATATATGGGAAAATGCATAATAAATTACAATCTACAAGTCTCAGCTTTTAACTAAAAATCTAGCCTTCATACATTACTCCAAAATCACCTGACCTAACTTTTTATGAAGTCATGTATATGTAACATAGACCTACTAGAGCTGGTTCTGGTAACACAGTGGTTACCAATCAGGCTGCTAAACTCAAGGTCAGCAGTTTGAAACCTCCAGCTGTTTTGCGGGAGAAAAATAAGGCTTTCTGCTCCCATAAAGATTTACAGCCTCAGAAACCCTCTGCAGGGTTGCTGTAAGTCTGAACCGACTCCACAGCATAAAACCACCACCACTACCAGAGCTGAGTAGGAAAGTAGTTAATCCTCCAGGTCAAATTCCTTCTACCTTTCCTCACGTTTTACTTTATAATATAGTTTGCTTTAAAAAAACATGCAGAAAAGTAGAAGGAATTAGACCTGGAGGATTAGCTACTCTTCTAACTGCTGTTTATTTTCTTCCATATTCAAATCTTAAGCTTATGACCACTTTCGATTTCATTAATTTACTTCAATCTTAAACTAATCTAAATACAATGTTTTCCATCATTGAGTTTTTCCATTAAAGTTCTCATTTTGTTACATCTTATTCTTGAAACGGATATTTTCCAAACCTCAGAGTTGACGTATGATGATGCTTGTCCTGGGTCATCCCTGCCTGGATCACTTTTTTGTGCAGATTTAATAAAGCCAGGTGGTAATGCAGGGCCTATCATTGGCCTGAAAAAGAAAATGTAGCTTTAACATTCTCCCTGACTTTAAATGCAGTTTCTCAAATAAAAGGCCACAAAAATAAAAGCCAACTACTAACAAAGATTGAAAATGAGAATTTTATTTAGCATATTCGTTTTATTGGTATTATCTAGTTTTTTTTTTTTACTAGCATTACCTGTATTTTTCCATTAGGTCTCTTATAAAATCCTAATTTTTGTATTTTAACTTTCTATATTTTGTAAATCAGGAACTTACAATTTTTATGGTACCGGTATATGCCTATTTCTATAAGAACTTTTACTTATCACATTAAATAAAAATAATGTTTTAAAAATTCTTTATTATGGACTAAAGTTTATGAGTCATGTTCTATTTTATGCCCTGTTTTTCATTGACATTTACCAAACAATGAAAAATACAATAGGGGCATTATAATCAGCAGTACTACCCTCCCACCAAAACAAAACACAAACCCCAACAAACAGCTATTGAGTCAGTTCCTGTAGGCTACAAATCTTTACAGAAGTCCACTGCCCCATCTTTCTCTCCACGAAGTGGCTAGTGGACTTGAACCACCAACCTTTTGGCTAGTGGCACAATGATTAAGACCAGGGCTTCTTATAATGAGAACTAGTTAACAATATATGGGAATGCGGTGGCTCTGTAGGATAAGCACTGCACTGTGAACCACAAGGTCAGCATTTCAAGTCTACTGCAGCTGCCACGCAGGATTGAAAGATGAGGCTTTCTACTTCTGCAAAGATTTACAGTCTCTGAAACCCTATACAGGATTGCTATGGATCAGAACCAACATGATGACAGTAACAGCAACAAACATAAGGAAACATACAGCATGTGCAGACCACAGATGCCAGTAGTATATGGCACATGTGCTAAGGTGGGATAAAAAGCTCTATGTTGTCTTAATCAAACAGCACAATGTGAAGTGTACAAGAATGCAGCTAGTTCAATTGAGACTCCCAGAAGAAGGAAAAGGTGCTGTGTTATTCACATTCCAACCAGTACACTCATGTTTCCTTAAAACAACCCTGCTGAGATTGTGTGCTGTTGAGTAGGTTCCAGTACTTTCCCTATGTACCTCCAGGGCTCTAAAACAACCCTGGTTGGTGTAAATTATCCAGTGTCATCAAGTTGATTCCAACTCATAGTGACCCGAGAGGACAGAAGAGAACCGCTCCAAAGGGTTACCGAGACTAAATCTTTAATGGTAGCAAGCAGCCTCATCTTTTCCCCACTGACCTTACAGTTAGCAGCTCAATCCTTAACCCAAGACACCACCAGCGCTCCTGTTAGTATACATCAGTGAGAAACACAATGGTGAAGGTCAACACAGCCAACAAGAAGTGGCAGAGGTAGTTTGAACCCTGGTCTCCTTTATGTCCAAGTCCATTTCTTTTAGAGTTGCATTTTGACACATTCTGAACAGATTAGCAATGCTGGGTCTTACAAAAAGTAAGTCTTACTTATGTAAAGAAGAAATTAGAAACACAAACCAAAGAAAGAGGTATTTCTTAGGTTTCTTTATTGTTTCTGTTGTACCAAACTTTTCCCCACAGCCATCAATGAATATTCCAGGTTTCACTAAGTTCAGTGAGAGCCTCACAGGCAGGATTCCTGGCAGGGGCAACAAAGTGCTATGAATCAGAAGTGCTGGGCTCTGATCCTGTTCATTTAATAATTTGGAATCTTGGTTCAAGAAGTTAGGCCTGGTGTGGTGCTGTACGATAAACAATGGATTGCCAACCACAAGGATGGCGGTTCAGACCTATCAGCTGCTCCTCGGAAACTCTATATAGAGTGGCTGTGAGTTGGAACCGACTCAATAGCACTAACAAGAAGTATTGGCACATTAAATCTCCTTGAGGCAAAGCTATTTTACGTATGAAAAATAGGGAAGTTGTTGGAATCAGTTTCATCTCATAATGACCCTGTACAGGGTTCCTGAGACTGAATGGTCGGTTTGAACTGCTGACCTTACAGTTAGGACTGTTAACAGTCCTATGCTTATCCTACAACACCACACCAGGGCTCTTTGTATTACTGTTGTTGTTGTTAAGTGCCCTCGAGTCACTTCCGACTCATAGTGACCCCGTACAAGGTTTCCTAGGGGTGGGTGGTGAGTTTGAACTGCTGACCTAATGGTTAGCAGTCCAGTGCTTATATTATAGCATCACATCAGAACTCCATTCTTAGCTTCTTGTTGTTGCTAAATGCCACTGAGTTGTTTTTGACTCATTAAGTGCCCTAGAGTCAGTTCCGACTCACAGTTACCCTGTACAGGGTTTCTGAGGAGTGGCTGGTGAGCTTGAACCGCTGACCTTGAGGTTCACACCAAGTCTGCAGTCCAGCGCATGAACCCACAGCGTCACACCAGGACTCCCTGTGCCATCAGAGTCCCTCATTTCCATATTTTACAGGTGCCAAATTTGAGGTTCAAAAAAGTTAGTCAAATTGTCTAATTTAGAAAATAGAGACTTGTTTCATCTAGCAATGGAAAATTAAGAGAGAGTATTAGAAGTAAGAACATCAGGATTCTAGCCCTAGCTCTACCTCTTGCCACTTGTATAACCTTGGGCAAGTCCCTGGACTTGTATCTAGTTTATTACCTATTTTAAATAAAGGCAAAGAGATAATGTTCTAGCCAGTCTACTACAAAGCACCTTTTTTAAGCATCAAATAAAAATGTGGAAACTTTACGGTATAATATGAAAGTGTCATAAACATGTAAAATACTTTTTTATATTATGGGAAACTACTTTCCCTATGAATGGTCCATTCCAAATGTATTATAAAACAATTTCAGGTAACCTTTAAATGAGTTAACAGTCATTAGTAGAAATACCAACCTAACACCTACAACAGCAGTAGAATTATTGAGAAATGAATGGCCTGAAGTAGGATATAGTTCTCACCTTGGAGGAGAATCATCCTGCTTTCTAAATCCAGGGGGGAGGGCTGGTCCAAAAAACCCTTCTTCACCATTGTTGGCCTGGTTTCTTCTCTGTTTTCTGGAAACACAGCAGTGTAACTACATCTACGCAATTACGGCAAAACATTTTTCTCAAAGAGCAATGTTAATTTAAAAAGGAATTATCAGCTTCAGCCATTTGGACAAACACTGAAACACAAACAAGAAAAAGTGGCCCCTGCCATGGTTCTTAAACTAGTATTTTCCTGGAATTTATTTTTGGCCTAACAATAGTTAAAAGATATCGGTCACTTAAATCAATTTCCTGTGGTATTAAAAATTGTACTCAATGACGTTTTGGGTAGTCTACTTCTAGATGTTTGAGTATAATATTCATGATTGTTGACTTTTACATTTATTAAAGAAAGCACTTTAAGTCACTACTTCTGTCTTATCAGCTTCAAAATGGAACAAGACACCGAGTTATCCAACACTCAACAAAGACTGGAATTCATGGTGAGTTAGGTAAGATCCACCTACAACAAGATCCAGTCCGCAACAGAGGAAGGAGAGTCCGGAGTAGGAGGCAGAAATGGAAGGGGTGGCTACTTGCCTCCATGAACAATTGCCTCCTTTGTCAGGAGACCAGAACAACTACCTGGAGGGTGCCTGGCAACCATTACTGAACATTTTGATCAAAGAGTCTATAGAAGGGAAAAAATGTAAAACAGAATTTCAAATTCTCATGGAATGCAGCCTTTCAGGAGCCATGGACGTTGGATGAACGTGAGACAATCTTTAAAACTTAAATCAAAAATCTCCTCTGAAGCCTTCTTATAACCAAATAATTGTTGTTGTTAAATGACATCTAGTCAGTTCCAACTCATAGCGACCTATTTACATTCGGTTTCTGAGGTTATATATCTGTCTGGGACAGAGAGCCTCATTTTCTCCTGTGGAGCAGTTGGTGGATTCGAATAGCTGACCATGTGGTTCACAGCCCAACAAGTAACCAGGTACGTTACCAGGGCTCCAAATTATAGTTTAGCTTAACTTGTAAAAAATGGCTGCCTTGAGTCCTGTGGTCTTCTAAGAATTATCTTTATGGGATCAACCTGACAACAGCAACTTGGAAGACTGGATGGGAAACTCGGGACACTGAGGTCTGGTAATGAAGGGGAACAACTCAGAAGGAGGGAGAGAAAGATTGTACAACTTGAGGAAGGTAATCAGCGTCACTACATTGTACGTGTAGAAACTGTGGAATTAGTGTATATTCTCAACAACAAAAAAGATATTCAGTCTTCAAAGAAAATCTTTCCTTTACCTAATCAAAACACATAAACTGCATATAACATTTTTAAAAAGGAAATTTACAGTTTATTTAGAATACTTAAGGCACTTCAATAACATCTTAAGGAAAAACTCTTTAGATAAGGAACCAACTAAAATTGTAGAAATCTCCACACCAATGTATTACTAGAATAAATTTCTCTGTAAAAAGCAAACTGTCACAGAGAAGATTTTTTTTCTGTGTTGGATAAATAAAGTTTTGATATTCCTTTGCCAGCTATCACGCTCTCTCTTCCAACCCACTGACTCTGGGTTTCCAGCTTGGTTCACCATTTATGAGTGACTGACCGTGCGGTGGGACCGGTGTCCTCATCTTCTGACTCTTGATTTCCTTCTTCGTACAAAGAACTACTGTCCTCATCGCTGTCTGATGAATCGGAACTGCTGCTTTTATAGTTAGGGGGCAAAGCTGGTCCTGCAACTGGAAAAGATGTATTGTGCACTTCATTACCAACCACAACTGCCCTAATGAACCTTCCAGCTGACATTCCTCAATTCCCTTTCTGCAATTCATAGCACTGACCGGCTATCAATCACTCTTGAACTTTACTGCTAATGGCTAATGATTTGTGCTCACAGTTCTCTCTCCCCAAATACACTATAAGTTCCAGGAGGGCAGAAGTTATTCTGTCTTATCCTGTATAACTAGGGCATTCAAAAGAACTATGTTAACTAAATTGATAAATTTAGCAAAAGCATATAATTTCCCAGATGACACACAGGTTTTGTACTGGTTGATGCATTAGCTGAGAGTTTCGTGATTTTTTTGTTTTTCCTAATGGGTAGTATGTTGTTATGAAGTGCCACTAAGTTGGTTCCAGCACATAGTGACCCTGTCTAGGGTTTCTGAGAAGGAGCTGGTGGGTTTGAACTGCTGACCTTGTGGTTAGCAGTCCAGTGCTTATCCTACAGTGCCATATCAGGACTCCGTAGACAGCATATGATAGACATATTTATGTCACAGAATTAGTAATGTAACTAACATGCTATTCCATACTCTAATATATCAAGAATCAAAATGATTTATTCTGATTTCTGGCTAAGAAGCACTACTTTAAAAAACCCTATACAGGGTCGCTATGAGTTGTAACCGACTTGGCTGCACTTAACAACAAGAACAGATGGATACTGGGAGAGTGGTAAGGGGCTGTTGGGCCCGCTCACTAGAGTGACTTGTTCTTGCTGTACATTTCAACAAAACTGCTAATCAGTGCATGATTTCACGATGTTACCTACACATGGCTATCTATACTGATACTGACAAGGGATGCTAAAAGTCTGCTGCCACAGTTTACCACAGTGTCTGAACCTGGATGTTTACCATTTCTCAAAGTTATCAAAATATTTCTTAAAAAAACAACAACAATGATTCCTGGGCCTTTCCCCAGACTCTGATTCAATTGGTATTGAGTGAGCTCTAGAAACATGATTCTCCAGCTTTCCCAGGCATGCTACTCAACCAATACTAAAAACAAAAAATTTAAAAGAATAAGAGAAAAATAACATGTTTTCAGTTCCTATGTGTTATGTACTCTTTAAAAAAAAATTGCATGCTTTTACCTTATTTGTTCCTGGCAAATGCCTTATTAGGGAGATGTTGTTATTTCTATATTCCAGAAGAAGAAACCAAGGCACAGAAAGGATCAGTAACTTACCCAACATCACATATTCAAATAGGGAATCTGACAGTCTGGTTTCTGAACCTCCAGCCTTAACCACTATTATCAACATTTAACAAATAATCAACATTCTTCTATCTAATGACATTTATTGAGTAAATGTTTCTTGAGAAACAAACATAAAATGAAACAAATAGGATCAATTCAGATGGTCAAAGTGCTGTTATGAAAGCAAGAAAACAGTAGTAGAGAGGTGATTGTGAACATGTGCATGTTACTGTACTTCATTTTATTGTGCTTTGCATATACAGCATTTAAAAACCACCAATTGTAAAGTTGGGCAACCCTACGAGCAAGCTTATTGGTACCATGTTTCCTAAGCATGTGCTAGCTTTGCGTCTCTGTGTCACATTTTGGTAATTCTCACAATACTTCAAACTTTTCATAATGTTATTTATTGCACATTTAATAGACTACAATATAGTATGACCATAACTTTTATACGCATTAGGAAGTCACACATTTGAGACTCGCTTTATGGCAGTGGTCTGGAAGCAAAGCCGCCTCAGATCTGAATGGAGTTGCACATGATAAGCTGACAGTGGCCAGGCACCAGTGTCTGAGTAAAGAGCATTCCAGAGAAGACTGGTGTTTTTGTTGTTAATTGCTGTTGAGTCGATTCCGTCTCATAGCAACCACATACAGGGTTCCAAGGAGCAGCTGGCAGGTTTGAACCTCTGACCTTGCAGTCCTAGATAGTCTAGTGCTTATCTAGCTAGTGCAAAGTCCAAGGGGGAGAACAAGCTCGATGTGATTGAGGGACAAAAAGGCCAAAATGGCTAAAGCAAAGTAAGCAATGCCAATGTAGCTGGACAGCATGCCGGCTTCAGAGCCAGACTCCCTGGCTTTGAACTCCAGCTCAGTCACGTATTAGCAGTGTGATTTGGATAAATTATTGAATCTTCCTGTGTTCTTTTCTTCCTCCCTAAAAAGCTGAGGTCCAAAATCATTCTAACCTTAAAGTTATCGTAAATATAAAATCAGTTAATATAAGCATTTAGCAAAGAATCTTGCACACAACAAACATTCAACACTAGAAAAAGCTATGGTAAGACATTTGGATTTTATTTCATTCAACAGCTAGTCACTGGAGGTTTTGAGTTTGGAGGGACAGAATCTGAACTCCCTTAAAACAAAACAAAAAAAAAGAGTGCTGTGGACACTAGACAAGGGGTCAGAGAGGAGAGCATGAGGTAGAAAGTTGATTTTAAAAATGATTGAATTTGCAACACACTTTGAAGAGAAAGTCAAGAGTATCTGCTAATGGTCTGGATGTGAGTGCACAGAGGAGCTGAGGATGATTCCGAGGCTGTTGGCCTGATGGGCAAGCCAGAGAGATGGTACTGCCATGCTCTAATACAATGAAGCAGAGGGAAGCAGGTTTTGGGGGAAAGTCAAGAACTTTGTTTTTTAAAAGCATGCCAAAATTAATCTATGCTGTTAATAAGTCAGGATAATAGTTATTCTTAGACTGGGGGGGGGGGGGGGGCAAATAGTGACCAAATGATGGTCCAAGAGGAATGTCTTTGTTGGTCGTGTTCTATTTCTTGATCTTGTTGCTGTTATCAGTTCATTTGCTGAAATTTTATCAATATGTGAATTTTTTTTGTATGTTTATTACACTTTATAAAAAGATTTTAAAAAACAGGCAAAACTTAAATGCAATTTCATCAGAAGGCAAGAAAATGAAAAGAGAATGTGAATAAAAGAAAGTAAAATCTGTTTAGATGTGCTATCTAGGGGGTTATGGAGTGAATGGGATTATAACATAGAGGACTGTTGTTGTTACGTGCCATTGAGTCACTTCTGACCCACAGCGGCCCTGTACAGGTTTCCGAGGAGCAGCTGGTGAGCTTGAACCGCCAGAGGATTATGTGTTAAAAATGGCCAACTTTGTGCAAGATATTGTGTTTGTTGAAAAGGGGAAATCATTCAACAATTTTTTTATCAGCCAGGCACTAGGATGGGTTAGAGTAAAAACTCCTTGTGGTTAGCAGTTCAATGCTTATCCCACAGTGCCACCAGGGGTCCATGATACATGGCCTAATGGTAGACAAAGAACTAAAACGAGATTCAGAAATGGGAGGATTACTCTTTCAGTTTTACTTTACAGCTCTAGTGCCAATCCGACTCTACTATTCTGAACAAGTGTTCAAGGAGATAAATATACTTGGAGCAGTGTGAAAGGTATTTAGCAAGTAGCGTAGTGGTTATGAATCGGGCTGCCAATCTCACCGTCAGCAGTTTGAAACTACCAGTGGTTCCACACTGACTCCACCGCACACCACCACTGCAACCAAGTGCCTATTAATGTGTTAAGGCCGAGACCACAGTGCAGTGGTGGAGATAGACATGCTAACATATCAATCAAACACACTGCAGTAAGTACGCATATGTAATGGAATTAATCATTAACAAACCCCAAGGGTAAAGAGGAAGGCATTATCAGTGCTTGGGAGAGTTTGGAAAGGGTTCAATGAGGTGACATCTAAGTTGGCGAGGAATTTGTCAGATGTGTGCAAACAGTGAAGCAATGAGACTAGAGCACCTAAGAATTGTGCAGAGATTTGGTGTGCCTTGAACACTGGGTGTATGCGTGCCATACAATGACATAACTAGAGGTTAAGCTAACAGGTCTGGAGGTAGAGAGTAAAGAATCTTTACTTTCTACCCTAGCATCTTGCACATAAGAAGGCAATAAATATGGTCCAGAGGTTAGGACCACGGGCTCCAATGTTCTAACTGGGGTTCTACCACTTACTACCGATGTGATCTGGGCATCCGTCTAAGACTCGGTTTCCCCATTTGTGACATGGGAATAAGAACAAGTTTTGACACAGTTTCTGGCAGGATTAAATTCCTGAGTGTGTGTCGACTGTTGAATATAGCGTTCGACTCGTATTAAGCGCTAAATAAGAATGAATCATCATTATGATTACCAGGCCAAAGCACGTGCAACGTACCCTACTTTCTGAGGAGTACCCCACAACCTTCTTCTCACTGCTAGAGCTGGGGAGAGCAAGTTGGCGGCTCGCACTCCCAGCTCCACCGTCCTCCGAGGCCTCTCAGAGTGCCGGGCCAGGCCAGGAGAGGGGCGGCCTGGCCTGGCGGGCGGGGACACGCTGCTGCTTACCCGGGCTCGGGTCTCTCCCCTCGTCCTCCGCAGTCCCGCGGGCGCTGAAGCCGGGCGGGAGGGCCGGCCCGATCAGGTCTCTCGCCATCCGCCGTGGCGGCACCCGACCGCATACACAACTCTTTCCGCTCAGTTAAATCGAATCCAGAGATAGCCAGCGAATCCACCGCCAAAGCTGGAAGTTTTTCCGGCTCCGAAAAATGACGTATTGACCTGTGATTGGCTATGCTATGTAATTAACGATAGCGGAAGTGATGCTTAATGCTTGTTTCACATTCATTTGCAAGATTCCTTGCCTGAAGGTCGCATGGCTGAACCGTCTAGTAGTTTCGTGACGCCTTCGGGATGGTTTCCACCCCCCGAATTGACTCCCACTTTGGGGCCTTTGAGTGACACTGCCCCGATGCCGGAGAACTGGATGCTCTGGGCCATGATGCCGCCACCGCCGCCGCCACCGCCACCTCCTTCGGGGTCTCTTCCCACCGCCAGATCTGAGCCTTCCTCCGAGGCGCAGTCCCGCCACGAGCCCCAGGCACTCCCTGGGGCGCCGCCCCCCTTCGACGCCTTGCTACTTCCCGGAGCGCAACCCCCTTTCGACGCCCAGTCTCCTCTTGATTCTCAGCCTCAACTCAACGTCCAGCCTTCCTGGAATTACCAGAATCCGGCATCGTGGTACTGGAGACAGTCCCCTGATAATTTTCCTCAGCATCAGAATCCCCACAACCCTCCAGGTAGGCGTTTTTCCTCCTGGTGTCACCCCATTCTTTACTTTTCTTCCCTCTCATCTTTCATTTCCTCCCTGTACTTCAAGTTCTTGGAGTCTGGTCACTGATGCACCACACTATGACCGACTGGAATGTTTGCCACACCTGTTCATTTATTTTAGATTTTTATTGGACTCTAAGTGTGTATCAGTACTTGGGGATATAATCGTGAACAAAATTTGTGAGTATAAAAATCGTCTACTGTGGCAAGACACAATAAGCCCAATAGTTACATTGTGTATTAGGAGGTAAAGAGTGTTGTGGAAAGAGATGAAGCAGTAAAGAGTGATTGTCGTTGTTGTTAAGTGCTGTCGAGTCCGTTCTGACCCATAGCAACCCTCTAGAGGTTTTTCAAGGAGCGACTGGTGGGCTTGAACCACCAACCTTGCAGTTCAAACCGACTTTGCAGTCTAGCGCATTAACCCACAGCGCTGCACCAGGACTTCTGGTTGGGCATATTTAAATAGGGTAGTTGGAGAAGACCTCATAAGGAAGGTGACATCGCAGTAAAGACTTCAAGCATCAGAGCCATGGATATGTCTGGAGAGCATATAGGCAAGTACTGGGCAGGTGCTGAAGAAATGGATAACCAGTGTAGCTAGAGAGGAAGTTGTTACTAGGTGTGCGAACTGCAAGGTCAGCAGTTCGAAACTACCAGCTGTTCCACGGGAAAAAAATGAGGCTTTCTGCTCCCATAAAGATTTACAGCCTCGGAAACTCTGTACAGGGTCGCTATGAGTCAAACCAAACTCCATTGCATGTAACTACCACGACCCAGTTCCTTGTAACTCCTAGTGACCCTATGCACAACAGAATAAAACATTGTCCCGTCCTGCGCCAACCTTATAATCATTGTTACACTTGAGCCCATTGCTGCTGCCACTATGCCAATCAATCTCCTTGGGGGATTTCCTCTTTTTCATTCACCCTCCACTTTACCAAGCATGATGTCCTCTAGGGAGTGGTCCTTTCTGATAGCATGTCCAGAGTATGAAAGATGAAGTCTTGCCATCCTGGCTTCTAAAGAGCAATATAACTGTGCTTTTTCCAATGTTGATTTGGTTGTTCTTCTGGCAGTCTGTGGTTTGTTTTGTTTTTAATTTGCTAATATTTATTGCAAAAATAACTTTAGAAGTAGTTGATTAATGAGGCTTTTTTCAAACCATCCCACTTACTATATCTTATTAAAAAGATGCAATTGAAAAACTTTTTTTTAATAAGGAAAAAAAAAGGCTTTTTAGAGTGTAAGGATACTATATAGCAGTGGCTTTCAGACAAAAAAGCATGTCCAGTGCTCTTCTGTTTCTTCTTTTGGCAGGATTAACTTGACAAGCACACCAGTTCACTTAGACACAAGGTCAGCACTCCACATTAATAAATGCGTCCCAGTCATGATCAAGTTATCAACATTTGAACTTGCAGATAAGATGGATAGAGCAATCTCAGCATTAAAACCAAGGCTCCGAGGTCTGAACCACCTGGAGCACTCCTGAGAACAGGACCAACAGATCATTTTGATTTTAGAGGACACAATATATACATATCCCCCTATGGATTTTTCCACTCTCTTTGGCCTCCAAAAGGCTCACATATTAGTCCATCAAAAAAAGAACTGGCTGTGAGCCAAAAGAAAAAAGGGAAGAAAATCCAGAGTGTTCTGTGTTACTCTGAGAGACTTACCTTTCGGCTTCTACTTGGACGTTTTCAAACTGTGCAGATTCAAAGGAGTATGTCCAGTTGCAGCCTAACCATTCATGAAATTCACACGGATGTTTTCCCATAGAAGTTTCCCATCCAACATGCCAGAACAGAAGTGACTGGATATTGAAGTTGACCGTGTGGAGAGGTGGAAGGGGCTTGGATTTGGCAGGAAGAGGATAGCTGCCTTTCTGACCCGTGGTAAAGGTGATGAGGGTGAAGAGCTCATCCTCCTCAGTTCCAGCATGAAACGGCCGTTGATGGCAAGGATAGGACTCAGTTGTTTAAAAAGAAATTTCTTCGGCAGTTTTCCGATTTTGGTATACAGCACTTGTAGCTCTGGTATTTGGCTGAAAGATCCCTTAAAGGTGAAAGTAGCAGCTTCTCAGGATGCATTGAAATCAGGAAGGAAGGTTGTCTCTACACGGAATCGTTATGGCTCTGATATCCGATAGGAGTTTCTGCTGCATACTGCCCACTCCATGGTTATAGAGCGATCATCCAGTCCATGGTATTTTTAATACCCTTTTCTAACACCATAACTCGGATGCATCAGTTCTTATATGGTATTCCTTATTCATTGTCCAACTTTCAAATGCTTGTGAGGCTATTGGAAGCACTATGGCTTGGGTCAGGCAGAAGAGTCGGGTGGAACTGTAGAAGATGAATGAAGAGAGCTGACACTGAAGGGCCTGCAAGTTATTAGTGGAACTTTCACTGTTACTCTTGTGACCGATCTTGTACAAGGGAGGGGCCTGATTTATGTTGCAAAAGGATGGGTCTGGCTGCTGTGATGGAAATTGACTGTAAGGAAGGTTAATGAGACTATAAAATTATCCAATTGAGAGACAGGACCAGGATAGAGCTCTGGAGGTGGTGGGAAGTAGTCTGATTGTAGCTCTACAATGGCCACCTTGATTTCCTAAAGGATTCAATGTGGAGTGTGAGATCGGAGGAAGTAAGGGTGAGTCCTGGCGTGGTGCTGTGGGTTAATGCGCAGGACTTCAAAGTCAGTTTGAACTGCAAGATTGGTGGTTCAGGCTCACCAGCTGCTCCTCGAAAACCCTCTCCAGAGTTACTCGAGTTACTCTGGGTTGTAACTGATGACGGTTTTGCCAGGCAAAAAGGAACTCAGATGAGGAAGAATGGATGCATCAGATTTGAAAGGGAAGGTCAGGAGTTGAGTCTGAGCCTCAAGTGTGGGGACTACTTGTCTGTTAGTGGAGGTTGGTGTGTTGCTGTGATGCTGACCAGGTTTCTGTGGAGCTTCAAGACTAAGAGAGATAGGAAGAAAGGCCTGGTGATCTACTTATGGATCGCAATGGTTAGATTGGCAGTCAGTCACAGAGATGGTGAGGACTCAGCAGAGTTGTGTTCTGTCGTGTGTAGGGGTGCCATTAGTGGCAGGTGGAGGGTGATGGACTCTAGGAAGCCATTTACAAATTTTAAATAGGGCAGTGACATGATTGAAGAGAGATCCAGGGTGCTATGACAATAATGTAGGCAAAATATTGGGGTTTCGAGTTGGATGATGTCAATTTGAGGGAAGATGTATTTTACAAACTTGTGTTTTCCTGGTACTAGATGGATGTTGGAAGAACTGTATTAGGAATTTCATTGTCTAAGTTTTAATTTGAAGTAATTGTAAGGAATTTCATGGGGTTAGATTACCCATATCTCTATTTAGATGTCTAAATAGGGCCATGTCATCACATCAGAATTTAATCATTTGAAAAATACTTGGTAAGTTAGTCTTATCTCTAGTTTGTTTGAATTTGAACTACAATGTGGGCTGGCTTAGCAGTGTTTCAGTTCAGGTATTTACAACATTCTTTAGCAAATAAAATTTTTTAAAATAATTTTGTAGTTGCAAGCATTGATGTATTTTTTTTTTTTTTTAGCTAAGCGTCCTTTTTTTCCACGAAAACATGATGCAAACTTCAATGATTTCAACTTCCCTCCCAATAAGAAACAGAAAAAAAAGGTATTATTGTTTAATATGTTCTTCAATGTGGCTCTTTGGTCCTTCCGTCACATTTCCCTGTCTTGTACTTCTGTCATAGCTGTCTCAGTGCTTTGCTTCCATTACTGACACAGGGGAGCCTTGCTAGAATAGCATCTTGTGTCTGTGTGTGAAGACTTTAAACAAAATCTGAGAAAAAACTGGAAAAATCTTACAGAAAGGACTAATAGAAAGCATTGAGTTCATTTCAGTATAGAATCAAGATAAAAATAACAATTATAATTATAGAACAACATAAACGTTAAACTTTGATAAAATAAGAAACAATATTACTAGGAGATTGAGAGATGAAGGAGGAAATTTGGGGAGAAGAATGGTGGTGGTGTGCTGTGGAGTCGCTTCCAACTCAAAACAATCCTATGTAGGGTTTCTGAGGCTGTAAATCTTTACGGGAGCAGAAAGCCTCATCTTATCTCCCACAGAGTGGCTGGTGGACTGACTTGAACTGCTAACCTTGTGACTCACAGTCCAGTGTTTATCCTACAGAGCACTTAACACCACCAACATGAGGCCTTAAGGAGCCCTGGTAATACTGTACAGTAGGCTGGGGGTGCTAACCTGATAGTTCAAATCCACCACATACACCAGAAGAAAGACGTGAAGCTGTTTGCTCCAGAAGAGATTTACAGTCTTGGAAACCCTATATGGGGTTGCTGTGAGTCAGAATCTACTCGATGGCAGTAGGCTTTTGGTTAAATGAGGCCGTTAATTTAGCATAAATTGAACAATGTCATTTTTGCATGAAATCTCTGTAGCTAATAGTACCAAAATGTTAATCAAATGTATTTATTAACATAATCTCAACATTAAGAAAATGTAGATAATTTTCTTCATAGTCAGTAATAGTAATAATCTTTTAAATTTTATGTTAAAACAAAAGAAACGAATAAAATAATTTGTTCTGGTGTGCTGCTGTAGGATAAAGTACTGGATTGAAAGGTGGCTTTGAACCGCAACGTTGGCGCTTCATACTCATTAGCTGCTCCTTGAAAACTCCATAGAGATTCTCTATGAGTCCGAACTGATTGGATGGCACTTAATAACAACAACAATCGTTACCTAAGTGATTCTTTTTTCCTTTGTGTTTTCTTAAGAAATACATGATAATTGTTATTTTTCCTAAAATATAAAATGCTATTTTACCTTAAATATTTCTCTTTAGGTCATTTGGGAACATGCGGTACAAAATCTTAATTAGAATACTAATTTGAAATCTCCTCACAGAGTTTATATTAGGTCTGCCCACATTTACAATTTTTACTTGTCTAACTTCTCTGAAACATTTGCTAAAAAGAAAAGAAAAACAGAAACATCCTTTCATTTGAAATGGATTCAGGCGTTTGTACCACATACACGGGTTGTAAAAATATCTATGTGTTACTAGTTTGATTTTTACCACTGATTATAGAAAAGCCCTAATGCCTTTTTGTTTTTGTTTGCAGAAAAGAAAGGAACCTGTTTTTCACTATTTTTGTGACACCTGTGACCGTGGTTTTAAAAATCAAGAAAAGTATGATAAACACATGTCTGAACACACAAAAGTAGGTTTTCTTTTCTTGGTTGTCCTGGAATTTATTTAGCAAAATGGCCTTCTAGCTATATATTTAGTAAAAATTCTAAGCCTTTTTTTTTTCCTATAAAGTTTATCGTTTTCATAGAAATGTTTGGTGACTTGATAAATTGGAACAGTGACCCTAGGCTTTGCAGTGTGGGGTTGGGGAGACCCACCGCTTCAGGAATATTTTTTAAGATGGCTGTGATTCCTCTCAAGTGGCCCTCTGTACTTCTGTGAACTTTTTCTCCTGTAAGGCTGCCCTTGATGGCTTTACCAGCTATTGCTGCAATTTTCCATGGGCCAATCACCATCTTAGGGTGGGTGGGGTCTGCACCTTATTTTAGGTTCATGGTTAGCACAGATGGTTTGCACTTGACTTCTAGTCTAAAGGTTAGGAGGTTCAAACTCATTCAGCAGCACTGCAGAAGAAAGATCTGGTGATCTGTTTCCATACAGATTATAGGCAAGACAGCCCTAAGGAATGGTTCGATTTTGTAACAAACACATGGGGTTGCCGTGAGTCAGCATTGACTCCAAGGTAGTGGGTTAAACGTTATTCGGTTCGATTTTGTAACAAACACATGGGGTTGCCGTGAGTCAGCACTGACTCCAAGGTAGTGGGTTAAACTTTATTATCATACGACTTTGCTATGTCATACTTTTACTCAGCTGGAGAAAGAACTGTATATTTTGAGAATGTCATTTAAAAATGTAATGTTCTCTGGAGTGATCTTTGGTTTGCTATTAACATAAATATGCAGTGATTACACCATGTAGTTGGTAACTATGTATGGCCAGAATATGTCTGTGTGTAATAGTGCGCTGTATATAAAAATGGAAAATAATGAAAATTAATAATTGAAATTTTAAAACTCTTACAGTGTCCTGAAGTAGATTGTTCTTTTACTGCACATGAGAAGATTGTCCAGTTCCATTGGAAAAATGTAAGTTCATGGGTCTGTCTTTTTTACCTTGTGGGTTTTGTTTTTTTTTTTGGTGTATGATCTTTTTATTCCATTGGTCTGTTAACTTCATATCTTTTTATTTACATAGCCTAATAGTAACATTTGTCAAGTATTTTATACTTTTGAGGCATTTTTACATCTCGTATTCGGTTTTATCTTCATAGCTATGCGAAGTAGATGTTGCCCTCATTTAACACAGATAGGAAAGAAAAAAAAAAATCTGCTCCAGGCTTCACAACTGAATCTTGAGCTTGAATTCCTTGTCTCTAAATTGTACAGGCGTTTTACTGCATCGTGCCGTTGTATGTAATCATGATTTCCTTAGCTCCCACACTCAATATTGGTTGGTAGGTCATTCATTTATGGGTATTTAATGTCATTCAAGCCAGTAGGTGACACATCAACTTTGTAACCAAAATTATGTTACTCCAAGTTTCCAACTGAGTACATCTAGACTAAATACTTGAGAAACTCTTCTGTACAGTAAAAGTCATAGTAAGAACGGATAAAAGCTACTTATTTAGTATTAAAAAATGGTCTTTATTCCTGCATTTAATGTTGGGTCCCAAGTCTCCATTATCCCCATAATATGCAAAGCTTATTCACAAGCACATGCTATGCTTCCTGATGGTCAGCGGGCTTTTCCCCTTTAGATGCATGCTCCTGGTATGAAGAAAATCAAGTTAGACACGCCAGAGGAGATCGCAAGATGGAGGGAAGAAAGAAGAAAGTGAGTAAAGAGTTCAAGGAAGTAACTCTTTGGTGGTCACAAGGCTGGGCACTTCCATATGATGCTCTTTCTGTCCCTGGTCGTGTCACTGGAAAGGGAAATTTGGTCTGCTCTAACTGGCATGGAGCTGTAAGGTCAGCACTGCACTGCTAACTAGGAGGCTGGCACTTCAAGCCCACCAGCCACTCTTTGGAAACCCAGTACAGGGGCGCTGTGAGTAGGAGAGCCGACTCAAGGGCACCTAGTCACCACAATAGGAGTTCTGGATGTCAGCTGCTTGCTGCCTGGTAAACGCTCTGTGACAGAGGCAACAGTGGGCACATGGCTAGTGTTAAAAAAAAAAAAAAAAAAAGTATAGTACTTTGGTACGTTCATTCTTTTCAACAAAAATTTGAAATGACTTCAGTGTACTAGGAACAGGAGGTATAAAACAGTGAACAAAGATAAATAAGTGCTTGTCTTTAACTGTTGTTGAGTGTGGTAAAGTCAGTTCTGACTCAGCAACCCTCTATAGGGTTTCCAACCAACGTTGTGGTTAGAAGCCCAGTGCTTATCCTATAGAGCCACACCAGGACTCCTGTGTTAAAGTGCCATCAAGTCAGTTCTGACTCATAGTGAGCCTATATAGGGTTTCTGAGGCGCAGTTGGTGGGTTTGAATTGCCAGCCTTGTAGTTCCTAGTCCAGTGCTGATCCTGCAGTACCACACAAGGACCTCTATGCCTCTATGTTGTTGTTAAGTGTTGTCCAGTTGGTTCCAATTCATAGAGACCTTGTATAGGGTTTCTGAAGACCAGCTGGTGAGTTTGAACCACTGATCCTGTGGTTCAAACCAACCTTGCGGTCTAGTACTTTATCCCACAACGCCATACCAGGACTCCTATAGAGATAAGTTATTCATTCCAGAAATCAAAGCCAGGCAATTTGAGCCTTACCATGTGATTAACGAGTTTACACTATTAGGAAAGATTAGTTGATATCTACTTAGAATATAAGGAGCTCTGGTAGCGTAGTGGTTACGAATTGGGCTGCGAACCTTAAGGTCAGCAGTTTGAAACTACCAACACTCCGCAGGAGAAAGGTGAGGCTTTCTGCTCCCGTAAAGATTTACAGCCTCGGAAACCCTGTACAGGGTCACTATGGGTCGGAACTGATTCAATGGCACTTAATAACAACAACAACCTAGAATATAAACCCAAACCAACCCACTGCCATTTAGTTGACTCCGACCCTAGTGACCCTGTATAGGGTTTCTGAGGCTATAAATCTTTATGGGACCTTACCTTGTGGTGTGCAGTCCAGTGCTTATCCCACAGCGCCACCTAGAATATGCTTAATGAAAACATTAGATCACTCTGTTTCCCCGCAAAAAGCTGGGATAAATGAAGTCCTGGCGTGGCACCATGGATTAATGCGCCAGACTGCAAAGCCGTTTGAACTGCAAAGTTGGCAGTTCAAGCTCATCCGCGGCTCCTTGGAAACCCTATACAGGGTCACCATGGGTCAGAACTGACTTGAGGCACTTAACAACAACAGAAACATTATGAACAATTTGTAAACAGTTCTTAAATGTACATACCAAAAATCTAAGAGCCACGTAGCTGTAATTTTTTTTAAGTTCCAGTGACTTTCCAGCTTTAAGCTTAGAGGCACATTGTCTTAAGAGGCTATCAAGTACCAGTCTCTTTGATGGTTGATAGTCATAAGTCCTCCTGATTAACAGTTTAACATCACACACACTACACACTCACATTTTCAGCCTTTCGCAGCACGTAACAAAGTTATAAGGGAAATTGGACTAGAATGAACAAAGATGTCATAGAATGTACACAACAGGCAGAGCCAAGAGGAGGGAAACAATTCTACCAACAAAAACAAAACCCCAGCATGGAAGTAGAATTTAAAAAGTTCAAATGCATGACTGTTCTCCCAATTGCTGTTAATTATGATTTGTATTATGGGATTACCCGCCCCCCCCAAATGGAATACTGAGTTGACACCCAAGATCGTTAAAATCCCCACAAGTCAACATCTCACTGTTTTCTGGTTGTACCAAAAAATAATCAACTAGCAAATAATTTCTCCTCTTTAAAAAAGAAAAAGCATTTACACTTAAAAAAATGGGATGAAGTGGAACTTCCTCCTACTTAAATATGTTTTAGGAGCTACTAACAAACTTGGGTTTACAAAATAGTTGATAAAAGATTCCTCTAGATTGTACAAGAAGAAAGAGATACATGACCCACTGATAAGACATGGTTGTTGTTGTTAAGTGCCATCGAGTTGGTTCTGACTCAACTACCCTGAGTAGCGTCTGGTGAACTTGAACAGCTGACCTTGCAGTTCAAACTGACCTTGCAGTCCAGTGCATTTACCCACAGTGCACAAACATTAATCAGACCTGGTTTCTTTCTCTCTTGCTTTATCAGAGGCTGGGCTCCTTGTTTTTTAGTTTCTCCATTTTCAGCAGGCAAATCTTCAGTTCCTTGGTTAGCCACTTTAGCCTGTTCCCCACCCCACCCCACCCCTTTGCACATTTTTCTTCCTTTCCTGCTGCCTTTTTTGGCTTTGTTTCCTTTTTTTGCAGGAGCAGCTTTAGTTGACAATCTCTCCACTCTTCTCTTGTTTTCTTTACATTTACATTTCTTTACATGCAGTCCATACTGAGGTTGTAATCGCTGATCTGCATCACTAAGTATTTTAAGTTCTCTTCACTTTTGTCAGACAAGGTTGTATCAGTTGAGTTCCTCCAATCTTGATGCCACATTCTTCATTTAATCCATCTTCTCAGATGATTTGCTCAGGATACAGCTTGAATAATTATGGTGAAAGGATAAACCCTGACACACACTTTTCCTGAGTTTAAATCATTGAGTATTCTCTAGTTCTGTTTCAACGACTATCTGCTGGTCTATGTATGGGTTCCTCATGAACACCATTGTGTCCTGAAATACTCATTCTTCTCATTGTTAGCCATAGTTGGTCATGAGCTACATAGTCAAAAGCCTTTACATAGTCAATAAAGCACAAATAAACAGCTTTTGGGTATTTCTGCTTCCAGCATGATAAAATTTGACAAGACCAACAGCATATTCATTGCACATACCTTTTTAAAACAACATAAAAGGTGACTGTACACACGGACCTCTCCAGGTGGAATATACAGGAGTCAGATTGGCTATATCTGTGGAAAGAGACAAAGGAGGAGCGCAATATCATCAGCTGAAACAAGGCCAGGGGCAGACAGTGGAACAGATCATCAATTGTTCATAAACAAGCTCAGGCTGAAGTCCACATTGAAGCAAAGTGTCTGCAAGTAAACTTTCAAAAAGTGGGGGATGCCTGTATTTTCTTTGTACTCGTGTTTTTCCTGTTGTACAAAATTAGGTTGGATATATGTATGTTTCTTAGATATATATAGGTGTTTGTGTGAAATTTCAAAATGCATTTGTTAAGCTGATTTTATTTTGGCCAGCTAAAATGTCAGCAAAACAAATTGCTCCTTAGGACTACCAGTCAGGAGTCTAATTTGAGCTTAATTTATTTATTCTGGTTATTTCTTCATTACTTACTTAGACGAGCTCGCTTTTTTTTTTTGTCAGAATTGTTACTGTATATGGCCTTTTAACCTTTCTTACTCTTAGTTTTGATCCTATTGATGCTTCTAGAAAATTGCACTTCCATTTTTGTAGTTCTTCCATTGATCTTGTTAGCAGTTCTAACTCCTAGCAACCTCTGTAAGGTTTCTGAGGAGGAACTGGTGAGTTTAAACCTCTAACCTTGCAGTTCTGCACTTACCCTCCATCACTATACCAGGACTCCTAGCCCACCTAAAACCCTCAGAGCAGGAGTAGGAAACTGTGAAATCAGTTTGTCTGGCCCTGCCAACGTAACCGCAATTTCAGCCATCTCATCAGGCATGAGTTAATTAAATGTTTGAGCAACTATAGCAGGGTAATTTTTTAAAAAAATTTTATTGTGAATTCAGTGATCGCTTTTATGGGAAAACATCAGCTTTACGAAATCATCCTATCATATTTCGTTTCATTGCAATGATTACAGTCCCCTCCATGCATCATCATTCAACAGTGTTTGCTTCTAGTCCCTCCCTCTTTTTTTGTTTTTTTTGTTTGTTTGTTTGGATGTACACCATAACACTCAGGAATATGCAGTCATTCAAACACCCAAAGTGCATACCCTGCAAACAGCACACAGCCCCTCTCCCTCCATGAGTCTAGAGACCCCAGCTGCTCCATCTCCACATCATCATCACTGCCTCCATCTCTGATGTCACTGTTTTTCTGGGTAGGGTCCCTCACTCCACTCTTGCTCTTCTCCCTTTATGGCCCCCAGGGACCTCCACTCCTGGACTGCAAGATCAAGCACTTCCCTCGTTTGTTACAAAACATCTACCTTTACAGTTATAGCAGGCTAATTTTTAAGTTAATAATTTTGTATGGTCCATAAGTGATGTTATAAATTTTGGTAGAAAGTTCCCCATCCCTGCCTGTCATTAAATACAGTGCCCTCTTTCTGCCACTTGAGCATAGATGTCTGTCTGTTTTAGTCTCTTAGTACTGCTGTTGTAGAAACACCACAGGTGGTATTCCTCACAGTTTAGCAGGCTAGAAGTCCAATTCAGGTCATTAGCTGTATGAGAAGGCTCTCTGTCCACTGTGGGGAAAGACGTTTTAGTTTCTTGGAATCTTTACATAACATCTATATTTCCTGTTTGTGCCTAAATTGCTGTGGTTTTGAACCTTAAATTCTCACTAAATGGAACAGATCATTACAGATTCAGTCTTAATCACTGCCTGGTACGCCTCTGCTTATAATTCAGTGGCTCTCCTTTACCAGCTGAATTAAATTACAAACTGTCCAGTTTGGTATTCACAGTACATTTTGACTTCAGCCTCCCTTTCTTGCCAGTGACTTTATTGCAGTATGGTCAATGCAGAATGAACTACTTGCCACTCGAGTGTGTATCACACTTTTAAGTTTCATTGTGAATGAGTGAAGGTTTACAGGGCAGATTATCAGTTTTACATTCAACAAATTATATTTTGTTTCGTTGCAATGGTTGTAATCCCCTCCCATGTACCATCAGTTAGCAATATTTATCTCTACTCCCTTTTTTGTTTTTGATGTACACATACAAAGCAAAAAATATAATTCATTTAGAAAAGCCAGCCTCCTGCCCACAGGCACACAGCTTTTCTCAGTCCATGGGTCTGGAGTCCTCAGCTGCTCTGTCTATGCCATAATCTCTGCCACTGTCTCTGTTGTTGCAGTTTTTCTGCGTAGGATCCCTCACACTAATCTTTATACATTTTCAGACACTTAGTATATTTTGCCCTATGTTAAACCTATTTGTGTGCTTTTCTTATATCCTTCCTGGTTTATTGTATGTTTTTTTTCACCATTATAACTTTGAAAATTCCTAGCATGTGTATATAAGTAACTGAATTATTGAGTGCCGTTGAGTCAGTTCCAACTCATAACGACCCTGCATCAGGTTTCTGAGAAGCAGCTGGTGAGTTTGAATCGCCAACCTTGAGATTAGCAGTCCACTGCTTATCCTACAGTGCCACGTCAGGACTCCAAGTAACTGGACTTACATTTTTCCTTAACCATGTTTATGAACACACACCAAATAGATACATTGTGGTTAAATCAACTGCATCAAATACTTTGTGTAAATCATCCAGATCTTCCGTGGTCGGGCAAAGTGAGATTAATCTGACAGGGTTTTTTCCTTTACCAGAAATATAAAGTGTCTGTGAATCATTTTGGGGGGTTATTTTTTCCAAAGTTTTTGCCAGTACATAAGAGAAGCCTGCATGTTTAAGTCCTATTGTGGCTCTGTAGGATTAGCACTGGACTGTAAGATCAGCAGGTCAAGCTCACCAGCCATTCCTAGGAAACCCTCAACAGGGCCACTTTGAGTCAGAACGGCCATACTTAACAACAACAACGTATATGGTAAAAAGTGAATGTGTTGTATGGGTAGCATTTTCTAGTCCAGTGCTACACAAAGACCCATTCTGTAAATACACTGCCTCCTTCAATGGGAAAGTCATGGTACCAAAATCATAATAATTATGATAATTGTTGCTAAATGCTGTCAAGTCAGTTCTAACTCACAGCAATTTTGTAAGAAGCACCTAGTGGGTTTGAACTGCCAGCCTTTGTGGCTCAAGCTGACCTTTTGGTCCAGCACGTTATCCTACAGTGCCACAATAACCTGATCTAAATAGTATGATTAGTGATATGTTTGATTTAAATTTTAGTGTAAGCTGCTTATTTAGTTATTGAGTAGCAAAATTTAGGTGTTGGCATCTGGTCTACACTTCCAGTAGCTTTGTTATTGTTGTTGTTGTTGTTAAGTGCTGTTGAGTCGATTCCGACCCATAGTGAACCCTGTAGAGGGTTTCCAAGGAGCAGCTGGTGAGCTTGAACCACTGACGTTGCAGTTCAAACGACTTTGCAGTCTGACGCATTCACCCACAGTGCCACACCAGGACTCCAGCTTTGTTATAGTTGACTCTTATCTCCTTTAAATAAAATTCCAGAAGTAATCAAAGGTTTTTAATGATCTGTTCTGGTGTGGTGCTGGTAGGATAAGCACTCGACTTCTCACTTCAGGGTTGGTGGTGCAGACCCACTGGAAAACCCTATAAAGGGTTGCTGTGAGTCGGAACCAACTTGACAGCACTTAACAACAACAGTAACTGTATTCTTAGTCATTGTTGGCTAACATCAAGTCAACCATCTGACTGTGACACCTCTGCACAGTGGAATGACGTGATGTTCCGCCCTGTACCGTCCCCGTGACTGTTGTGGTCCATAGTGTTTCTTTCACTGGCTTATTTTGGGAAGTTAATCATGAGGCCATTCCTCCTTGTCCCTCTAGTCTAGAAGCTCTGCTGAAACTTGGTCAGCATAATGACAACGCTCGAGCCTGTTCATGAGTTGCATTGGCCAGGAATGGAACTCGGGTCTCCCATGTGTGAGAATTCGACCACTCAATACCACTGCCACATGTTATTTGTTAAACAGATATTGCCAGTTGCAGCAGTCGCTTGATTGTTTAGCTGAATTGTAACTCTTAAAGCCTTCTTACAAATATTGTTTATTATTTCCTAGAAACTACCCAACGCTGGCCAATATTGAAAGAAAGAACAAGTTAAAACTTGAAAAGGAGAAGAGAGGTGCAGTGCTGATAACAACACAGTACGGGTGAGTTCTTGTAGGGTGCTTGCATTCACCTAATGCTGATTTTAACCGAGTATGCGCCTGGGATGGCGCTGTGGGTTAAAGCGCTGAACTGCAAAGTCTGTTTGAGCCACAAGGTCAGCAGTTCAAGCCCATCAGCTGATCCTTGGAAACCCTATACAGGGTCACTATGGGTAGGAACTGACTTAGGAACTGACTCGGCGGCACCTAACAACAACAATGCTTCTAAATAATAGGAAAGAGTATGGCACTAAAATTGAAAAATTTCTACTCTCCAATTCTGAAACCTTAGCCTTTGTAACTTTTTCACTTATTTTTTTTATTTTAGTAATATCTTAAATAGTAATACCATTTGTTATTGTTAGTGCCGTCAAGTCAATTCAGATTCCTAGGGATCCTGGATAGGATTTCCGGGCTGTAATCTTTACGGAAGCAGACAGTCTCATCCTTCTCCTGCAGAGCAACTGGTAGATTGGAGCTGCTGACGTGGTTAGCAGCCCCGTTGTGTAACCCACTAGGCCACTAGGGCCTTATGTAACACCATGTATGTATATGGTTTTCGTAAAGGTTGTTGTTTTGAAATGCTGTTGAGTCAGTTCTGACCCATAGCGACCCTTTCTGAGGAGCAGCTGGTGAGCTTGAATCACCGACCTTGCAGTTCAAATGGCTAGTCTTTTCTCTCCTTGTTGCCTAGAAAACAGTTTTCTTCTTCAAAGGCCACCCATTTTATCCTCCTGGGTAGGTATACACATAGCACATATGAAACAGGCTTTTTAAACTAAAACAAACAAAACAAAAGCCTCCCCCCACCTCCTCCCCAAAAAAAGACACTATCCTGCACTGTTGCATTTTTAACTGAATGACGTACTTGGAGATTGTCTCATGAGTATATAATAGGGGAGCATGGTGACTCTGTAGGATAAGCACAAGACAGGGAACCACGAGGTCAGCGATTCGAGCCCCCAAGCTATTCTGTGGGAGAAAGATGAGGCTTTCTGCTCCCACAAAGATTTAAAGCCTTGGAAACCCTATACAGGTCAGAATTGACTTGAAGATGCTTACCAACAACAACGATATGTAGTAAGCTTCTTCATGCTTTAACTGTATAGAAGGCTTCAAACAGTTCATGATAATATTCCATCATCTTTTAATTTCATTTTTCCATAAACGTTTTGAAGCTCCTTTGTACTCATTTTATGAGTGTTCTGGTAAAATGTGTACAGTTGGTAGGTATAGTAATAATGTTTATGTTAGGTTGGTTAATTCTGGTTTATTTAATCTTATATAATTTTACAATTTTGTTTTTACTGAGAGGTATCTTAAAATTTTCATCTGTGAATTTATCAAGTTCTTTTGAGATAGTCAATTTTGGCTTTATGTATTGTAAAATTATGCTATTAGGTGTGTTGTTGTTGTTAAGTACTGTGGAGTCGGTTCCGACTCATAGTGACACCCTGCACAGAGTTTCTGAGGCTATAAATCTTTATGGGAGCAGAACGTCTCTTCTTTCTCCCACGGAACCGCTGGTAGTTTCGAACTGCTGACCTTGAGGTTGGCAGTCCGACTCGTAACCACTACGCTAATGGACATTGAATTGCTATGTCTTCTTTTTGCACTGACCCTTTTAACATTGTGAAATATCTGTCTCTAATATAATACTTCTTGCAGTAACACCTACTATGTCTAATATTAATTAATGCTTTGGTCATTGAATTGAATATGTTATAGTTGGATTTTAGTCTTCCAGCAGTTTCTTTCTTTTGGTTTTTTTTTTTTTTTTTTTCTATTGCCCCTACTTATTCTTTGTTTCCTTTCTTTTAGGTTAGTTAAGCATTTAAAAAAATTCTGTTGTTTTCACTATTAGCTTTTTATTAATCTCCCCCAGCTTACATATAGCTACATTTTTATTATGCTTAATATAAATATTTTTAAAAAGATGAATTGTCCTTTCAGTGATTGTCAAACTCTGGAATAGTAGAACTGCTCCTTCGTAGGTGGGCTGAGGTGTAATGTCAGTTACCATTTCCTCAGAGAGGTTTTATATTACATACTGAGCACCAGGAGGGTCACTCAGGAGCCAGCTGTGGTCAGAGTCTTTTGGAGCAGCACAAGGCCAAGGAAAGTGGTGTCTCTCATTCTCAGAGGGATGGTGTGCAGGGGCAGAGACCTTCCCTGTTTTATGTGCTATAGCAATGTTGGGTTCTTAGCCCGGCACCTGTGGGTGGGCATCAGAGATTGGTCCATGCTTTTCTATAGAATTTGGAATGTATAATTAGTTTAAAATGAGATTTTTTTCTAAGAGTCATGGTGATCCCAAAAATGAAAGGATAACTTCTAGATTATAAAGATGGTGACTTTGCAGTATGTTGAGTTGGCAAACTATTTAGAAAACGTAATTATGAAAATTATTGTTGCTGTGTTAAGTGCTGCCGAGTTGGTTCCAACTCGTAGCGACCCAGTGTAGGGTTTGCTCTAAATGCAAAGCACTTTATGTTATCTTATTTCTCTTTGTATTCCAATGATTTCCATTCAACAGATGAAACAGGAGAAAGCCTTAGTGTCCAAAGGACACAGGTGGTACGTGGCTAAATTGGGATTTGAATCCAGATCTCTCAGTTTTATACTCCTAACTGCAACCCTCATTATTAATGGAAAAATGTCGTTTGCTTGATGTCTTAGTTTCCTAGTGCTGCTTTAACAGAAAACAAATTCATTCTCACACAGTATCTTTTTTTGTTGTTGTTAAGTACTGTCGAGTGGGTTCTGATTCGTAGTGACCCTGAATGGGTTTCCAAGGAGTGGCTTGAACTGCTGAGAAGTCCAGTGTTTGTCCTGCAGCACCAGTTCAGGGTACCTGCTCTAGGGGATGGTTTTCTTTCTCTGTCAGCTCAGTCTTCTCCCCTTTCTGCTTGCTTCTTTTGTACCTGTTGTTGTTGTCAGGTGCCATCGAGTCAGAACCTACTCATAGCGACCCCATGTACAGCAGAACGAAACAATATCCGATCCTGGGCCAACCTCACCACCGCTGCCACACTTGAGTCCATCAATGATGCCACCTGGCCAATCCATTTCGTTAGAGGTCTTCCTCTTTTTCTCTGACACTCCATCTTACCCAGCATGACATCCTTCTCCAACGATTGTTTCCTCTGGACAATATGTCCAAAGTACGAGAGACGAAGCTTAGCCATCCTGGCCTCCAAGGAGCACTCTGGCTGCACTTCTTCCAAAACAGATCTATTGGTTCTTTTGGCAGTCCATGGCACCCTCAGTATTCTCCTCCAACACCACAACTCAAAGGTATCAATTCTTCTATGGTCTTCCTTATTCACTGTCCAGCTTTCGCATCCATATGAGGCTATTGAAAACACAATGGCCTGGGTCAGGCATACCTTAGTCCTCAAGTTGACATCTCTGTTCTTCAACACTTTAAAAAGTTCCTGTGCAGCAGATTTACCTAGTGCAATAGGTCGTCTGATCTCATGACTGCTGCTTCCGCGAGTGTTGATAGTTGATCCAAGAAGAATGAAGTCCTTGACAACTTCAATCTTTTCTCCATTGATAAGAATGCTGTTTATTGGTCCAGTGGTGAGGATTTTTGTTTTCTTGACATTGAGATGCAATCCATATTGAAGGCTGTGCTCTTTGATCTTCATAAGTAAATGTTTCAAGTCCTCTTCACTTTCAGCAAGCAAGGTTGTATCATCTGCATATCGCAGGTTATTAATGAGTCTTCCTCTAATCTTGATGCCATGTTTTTCTTCGTAGAACCCAGCTTCTCATATTATTTGCTCAACATATAGGTTGAATAAGTATGGTGAAAGAATACAACCCTGTCTCACACCTTTCCCAATTTTAAACCATTCAGTGTTCCCATGCTCTGTTCGAACAACTGCTTCTTGGTCTAGGTACAGATTTCTCAGAAGTACAATTAAGTGTTCTGGAATACTCATACTTCTCAATGTTGTCCATAGCTTGTCATGATCTACACAATTAACCTTTGCGTAGTCAATAAAGCACAGGTAAACATCCTTCTGATATTCTCTGCTTTCAGCCAGGATCCATCGGACATCAGCAATGATATCTCTCGTTCCATGGCCTCTTCTGAATCCAGCTTGAACCTCTGGAAGTTCTCTGTCAATGTATGATTGTAGCCGTATCTGTATTACCTTTAGCAAAACTTACTCGCTTGAGATATCAAAGAGATTGTCCGATGATTTCCGCATTGCGTTGGGTCACCTCTCTTTGGAATGGGCACAAACATTGATCTCTTCCAATTAGTCGGCCAGGCAGTTGTCTTCCAAATTTCTTGGCAGAGATGAGTGAGTGCCTCTTGTGCTGCCTCACTTTCTTGAAAGATTTCAATTTTTATTCCATCAATTCCTGGTGCCTTGTTCTTTGCCACTTCTTTCAATGCACTTGGGACTTCCTCTCTGAGTATCATTGGCTCTTGTTCATATGGTATCTCTTGAAATGGTTGAACATTAACCATTTCCTACTGTGCTCTTTTTCATATTCAAAAGGTGATTGGCTTAAAACACACCCTACACTAACAGTGGCTTATATAGCAGAAAACCAATTCCCAAAATAGGATTTTAACCACAGATATGTTGTTGTTGTTGTTAAGTGCCATTGGGTAGGTTCTGACTCATAGTGACCCTGTGTAGGGTTTCTGAGGAGCAGCTGGTGACCTTGAACTGTTGACCTTGTGGTTCAACTGACTTTGCAGTCCGGCGCTTTAACTCACAGTACCACAGATGCTAATACAAGTACGGGTTTTATTTCTGAGAGAAGTGGTTAGGGTGGTTGAGAGAACACATGTTGAGCTGTTTGTGTCATTGTGCTAGGCCTAGGTTTATCCTCTGTAAGATGAAGACGTGGTATCTGATTCATCTATTTGAGTGGGTTATAAGTGTGGTCAAACAAGGTTCAGTATAGTTGGAAGTGCCTCACATCCAGTAAGGCTTCTGAAAACAAGTAGACAAGCGCTAATGCCCTGAGGACCTCTGTTAGCTTAGTGTTTCTGAATCGGGCTGCTAACCTCAGGGTCAGCAGTTCGAAACTACCAGCTGTTTCACAGGAGAAGAATGAGGCTTTCTGCTCCCGTAAAGATTTACAGCCTCAGAAACCCTGTACAGAGTCACTATGAGTCAGAACTGACTCCACGGCACATAACAACAGCTACAAGAATGAAAGAGTGCTGCCAGTTAGATCGAACTGTCCTAAATTGCACAACAAAGCCCGATTTCAGAGGATTTTCCATGGAAGAACACATGTATGTTAGAATTGCTAAAGTATGATATACTGTAGTGTGTTGTCCTTTCAAAGTTCTACCACAGAGTTCTCTGTCTGGAAACCATTGGATTTATTATATCTTTTTCTTGTGCATGTACAAGGTCACAAGTGATTCTTCTGACAGCTAGGTATCTTTTGCACCTAGAAGTCTTTCTTAAATTTTCTGGAAAGGTCAATAACTTTTCTGTTGATAACTGTAATTTTCTGATTCCAGAAAGATGAGGGGAATGTCCAGACATTCACAGGTGGCAGAGGTCAGAAGCCCTGGCAAACATCACAGGTGGAAAAATGTGAGAGGTGGACATAAAACAGCCACTGAATCAAGCAGTTCCTCGTGCAAGTCAAAATCTGAAGGTCCACTTGAGGCAAATGCTGATCCCCTGGGGATTTTGGCAAACAATGATTCTGGTAAGATAAACAGAAGACAAACTCACTTATGAGTATATGGGAAATGATGCTGATGGTAATTATTCACAGTCTTGCATGCAGAAGGTTTAATGTCAGGTACGGGTTGTCCATGATAAAGGATGGGGCGCCATTGCAGAGATTCCATTGCAAATCAGTTCCGACATAAGTAGAAAACCTCAGGGTTTTTTTTTTAAAAAGATTTTATTATTGCCTTTATTATAAATATATTCATAAGTCTGATCTTTATTTGTTTTGGGGGCTGGAAACATTGCATAGAAGCATACAGATATTATTAAACACTGTTGAGTTGGTTCTGATAGATGAGCTTGAACTGCCAAACTTATGGTTAAAACTGACCTTACAGTCTAAGGTATTAAACTGCAGTACCACATCAGGACCCCAAGCTTACAGATCGATTTTAATAAATATGTACATCCAAGGGGCTTTAAAAATTCATGGGAAAAAAATCCCATTAGCTTACAGTTTCCATTTTTTTCACAAACTTCAAAATTGGCTCCAGTGATGAAGAGTTGAATGACACTGGCATTTTGTCGTTTGCGGTTACAACTGCATGTGGGGAAGGTTCTGGAGCATTTGGGTTATCCCTGGAAATGAGAAAGATGCTTCTAGTCCGAAAACTAGTGAGAGTTGTCTATATGATTCTCTTCTTTTTCCTTCATATATTTTGTGGTAACATCTCACTGCTTCCTTCTTTTCATTTTTTTAAGGTTTTTATTGTGGATTGAGTGAAATTCACAGGGCAGATCATCAGTTTTACATTCAACAAATTATATACCTTATTTCATTATAATGATTATAATCCTCTCCATGTACTATCAGTTAATAGTATTTCTCTCTGTTCACTTTAGCTCTTTTTTTTTTTTTAAACATTCAGTTATATGTAATAATTTACACCAGCAAAGGGCATGTTCTACAAGTCTGCTTCCTGACTACCAGCTCTCAGTCCCTCTCTTCCCATGAATCTAGAGTCCTCAGCTGCTCTCCTCCATATCCCCATCTCTGCCTCTATCTTAGGTATCGCCAATCACTTCGAGCCTTTATCGCCCCCTCAATTTAGGTAGCCAGTGTCTAAGTTGCCCATCCCTATCTGCCCTGTGTACAGAGGGGATAGCATTGATACTTGATGTGAAGGCGCCTTCACTCTCTGTTGGTATTTAGAGTTACTACCTCCATGAGTATAGGTCAGGTTTGTCAAATTGTAGCAATTTACCCTTGTTTCCTTTATCAAAAATTATTTTGTTGTTTTTTTAAAAATATTCCTCTAATGGAGTTCTGACTATCAAGCCATTGAGGCTAGGTCCAGTGGGTACTATCTGCAACTTCAGGTGTTCTTGTGCGTCTCCTCTCACTCCATATCAGCTGTATGCTTCCATCTTACTGCTTCTTGAATCTACCTATCAGCTTGGGCAAAGCAATCGGCATTTGGGTCCTTGTTTTCAAGCAACTGAAGCCCCTGATATAGCTTAGAAAACTATATGTCTGTTAGTCTTAAAATGGAAACGTACATCTGGGAGTGAATATCTGAGAATGCTAACATCAGCAAATCATACGCAGCAACATATGTGGTACATATTATTAAGGTCGAATGATGTATTTGTTTTAATGGGAGTGTCTTCTCAAAAACATTATTCCAGCATATCTTTTTTGAATCTGGGAGGTGGGTTCATGTGGGCAGGCAGAATATGTTGTTGTTAGGTGCTGTCAAGTGAGTTCTGACTCATAGTGACCCACTGCACAGCAGAACGAAACTGTTGGATCCTACACCATTCTCACAGTAGTTGCTATGCTTGAACCCACTGCTGCCGCTACTGCCATTCCATCTCATTCTGCGGACGCTCTGCTTTACCAACCATGATGTCCTCTGTGAGAACTGGACCCTTCTATCATGAAACACATAGAAATCAAATTGACTACATCTGTGGAAAGAGAAGATGGAAAAGCTCCATATCATCAGTGAAGACAAGGCCAGGGGCAGACTGTGGAACAGACCATCAATTGCTGATACGCAAATTCAAACTGAAGCTGAAGAAAATGA